ATGTGAAGATGAGGGATTCAGATGAGGAACTGATTTTCTCGACTTTCAACTGTAGCTCTTACCAGCCCCAGCGTGCTGAAAGGCAAAGGATGCTGGGAGCCAGATAAGCAGAGATGGACCCCAGACAAACCATTAAGCAGAAAACAACACCCATAAAGAAGAATATTTATAGCTCAAGTTTGAAACAAGGAGTCCTCGGTGCTCTCTGAGGTCCTTGGTTGTTTTTCCTGCAGACATTTCATTCCCCAACTAGGTACCATCATCAGTGCTAGCTGCAGAATTCTGGGGGTTGAAGTCCACAAAGATTGGACGGCTCTGCTCTAAAAGAAGCTCTGCTCTAAATAATAATAATAATAATAATAATAATAATAATAATAATAGTAGTAGTAGTAGTAGTAGTAGTAGTAGTAGTAGTAGTAGTAGTAGTAATGGTAATAATAATAATAGAGTTGGAACGGACCTTGGAGGTCATTTAGTCCAACCCCCTGCTCAAGCAGGAAATCCTATACACAGAATTCCTGAACCAGCCATGCTGACTGAGGAATTCTGGGAGTTGAAGTCCACAAGTCATAAAAGAGCCAAGGTTGCCCACCTCTGCCCTAAACCATTTCAGACAAATGGCTGTCCAATCTCTTCTTAAAAACTGCCAGTGTTGGAGCATTCACCGCTTCTGGAGGCAGGTGGTTCCACTGGCTAATTGTTCTCACTGTCAGGAAGTTTCTCCTTAGTTCTAGGTTGCTTCTCTCCTTAATCGGTTTCCATGCGTTGCTTCTTGTCCTGCCTTCAGGAGCCTTGGAGAAAAGCTTGACTCCCTCTTCTTTGGGGCAGCCCCTGAGATATTGGAACACTGCTATCATGTCCCCCTTCGTCCTTCTCTTCGTTAAACTAGACATACCCAATTCCAGCAACCGTTCCTTGTATGTTTTAGCCTCCAGTCCCCTGATCCTCTTTGTTGCTCTTCTCTGCACTCTTTCTAGAGTCTCAGCATCTTTTTTTACACAAAGGAAGATTTCTATTTCCCTCACCCTGAAAATTTTGAACTCACACTTCTATGTGACACAGCCCTTGGGGGGCATCCACACCCTAAGCATTATGAGGCTTGGCAACTGCAGCAAATTGCAACGGCTGCCCCCCCCCCCCCCTTCAACAAAGTGTTGTCCGTTCCTGCCTTAGAAATCCGTTACCACTTTAATAAAAAAAAAAAAACCAATGCGTTCCTTTGTTTTTTATCTGTAGCTGAACTGACAAAAAAAATAAAAAATTCAGCAGGCAAATCTTTTGCCAGCACTTCTGTGCTTGCCAGGAAAAACTTCCGCTTTTAAAATAATTCCATGTTGAATCGCAGTTAAAGACACAGGAGGTTGAAAAACATTGCGTAACTGCCTGGTTCCTTCTTGAGGTAGCCAACAGGCTCTTAATCCAGGGAGGCACTCTTTCTGGGCCCGAAAGGCTGCATTTTAACTTTACAGCTAGTCCTCAACTAACGACGGTTCATTTAGTGACCGTTAGACGTTGCAACGACGTTGAAAAGGAGGACCTATGACCGTTTTTACACACTTTGCAGCGTCCTCATGTGATCAAAATTCAGAGGCTTGGCAACTGACATGTATTTATGACTATTGCTCAAGTGATCCCCTCTTGTGACCTTCTGACAAGCAAAGTAAATGTGGGGAAGCCAGATTCACTTAACAACCGGATTAGTAACTTAATAACGGCAGTGATTCACTTAACAACAGGGACAAGAAAAGTCATAAAATGGGGCCAAATTCACTTAATAACTGTCTCAGTTAGCAACAGAAATGTTAGGCTCAATTGTGGTGGTACATCGTCAAGGGCTACCTGTATTGTATAGGTCAGAGGTAGTAGGCAACCTTGGCTCTTTTATGACTCATGGACTTCAACTCCCAGAATTCCTGAGCCAGCATGGCTCAGCTTGGAAACCTCTCCCTTTCCCCTCAGCATGGCTGGCTCAGGAATTCTGGGAGTAGAAGTCCACGAGTCATAAAAGAGCCAAGGTTGCCTACCCCTGCTATAGGTGGCACCTTGCTCAATAGTAGCAACTGCAAGAGGGATCTCAGAGTCCTAGTGGACAATCACCTAAATAGGAGCCAGCCGTGTGGAGGGCGAGGGGTGACATGATAGCAGTGTTCCAGTATTTGAGGGGCTGCCCCAAAGAAGAGGGAGTCAAGCTATTCTCCAAAGCACCAGAGGGCAGGACAAGAAGCAACAGATGGAAACTAATCAAGGAGAGAAGCAACCTGGAACTAAGGAGAAATTTTCTGACAGAACAATTAACCAGTGGAACAACTTGCCTCCAGAAGTTGTGAATGCTCCAACACTGGAACTTTTTAAGAAGAGACTGGACGGCCATTTGTCTGAAATGGTATAAAGTTTCCTGCTTGAGCGGGGGGTTGGACTAGATGACCTCCAAGATCCCTTCCAACATCACCATCATCATCATCATCATCATCATTATTATATGCTAGGCTGGAAGACAGACTCTAAAGCAGACATGTCAAACTTGTGATGTCATGTGACGTCACGCGACGTATTGGAGCTTTTCCCCCATTGCTGGCAATGGCGTGGACGCGGTTTCCCCGTGACGCATTTGGCCCGCGGGCTGGCAGTTTAACACCCCTGCTCTAAACGAAAAAAAGTGGGTGGGCAGATCTGAGGCCCAGATGAAATAAATACAATTAAATTCAATTACAGGTAGTGCTCGCCTTATGATCACAACTGGAATAAACCCTTATGGGTGATTTTTCTTTTCTTTTTCTTTATTTATTTTATTTGGGAAATTTATATCACCGCCTAACTCGCACACGATTTTTCATTCTATTGCTTTTAACTCTATTTATAGAGGGTCTGGATGCACACCATTCTGAGTCATTCCCGACTGGAGAGACCTATAACCCCGGGGAACATGAAATAAAAGATATTAAGATTCAGAAACTTCCAATTTTAGGAGTCGGCAACAGAGATAGCTCGCTACTGCCTCCTTGTGTCCAGGAGTGGCTGTATTTTTATTTTTATTTTTAATTAGGGAATGGATGGAATTCAATTTTTCAAACATGGCAACTTTAAGACAGAGGACTTCAACTCCCAGAATTCTCCAGCCAGCATTGCTGATCAGGGAATTCTGGGAGTTGAAGTCCGTCCATCTTTAAAAAATGGCCAAGATTGAAAAACACTGGCATAAGTGAAGTACTTTTCCAAGCAATTGGCAAACCGCAGTAAAGAGAATTCAAAATGAAAAAGGACTTCTGCAGTCACGACATAAGCCTAAGACTGAAAATCAGGCTTGTCAGATGCTACATTTTCTCTATCCTGCTCTGACAGAAGGCCACCTGAAGAGACTAGAAGCATTTGAAAGGTGGATTTACGGGCGGCTGTTACGTATAAGCTGGGTTGACAAGATCAGAAATGAGGGGGTGATCAGCCGCCTGGGAAAGCCAAGGGAAATCATCAAAACAATTAAAAAACGAAAATTAGAATATTTTGGCCATGTGATGCGACACCCAGAAAAATACGGCATACTCCATTTAATCCTCCAGGGAAAGATTGAAGGCAAACGAGGTCAAGGCAGAAGAACATCGTGGCTTCAAATTCTAAGGGACTGGTTTGGACAAAACTCAGCAGCACTTTTTCGTGCAGCTGCTGATAAAAACAGGATCGCCAACAGGACCGCCAACGTCCGATAACGGATATGGCACAAAAGAAGAAGTAAAGAGAAGTCAATGTTGAAAACTATGGCTTGAATTTTCACGGGATAGTTAATACTGGAATGAACCATAAAGCAATCTTGTGAGGTTCCAGAAATGGGCTGAAAAGAAATGAATAAATTTCAACAGAGACCAGAGAGGGGTTGCTTAATGAGGAAAGAGAAATAAAAATTTCCGGCACAGCGCTGGTTATACCGAAACAGAGTGGAACGGAACGGAACGGAACAGAATGGGATCCCTTCATATCCTGCAGCCAAGACTCCACACACATTTGCACTACTCAGGTGACCCTGAGGACACAGCTAAACCTCCAAGTGGCTTCAAGGACTCTTTAAAATGGGGGAGGGGGAACTGCCGGCCCCTGGGCCAGATGCGTCATAACGAAACTGCGCCCACCCCATTGCCGGCAATGAGGGAAAAGTTCTGATACATCGTGCGACATCACAGGTTTGACATGTCTGCTCTAAAAGAAGACAAATGACCCAGCTGTCTGCAAGGAGTATAAATCCTTCCGTTCCCCACCATCCAGGCAGAGCTGAAAAAGCTTCTGGGATGAGAAGCAAAAAGTCTTCAAGGAAAAACAAAGTCCAACCCCCTGCTCAGGCAGGAAACCCTATATCATTTCAGACAAATGGCTGTCCAGTCTCTTCTTAAAAACTTCCAGCGTTGGAGCATTCACCGCTTCTGGAGGCAGGTTGTTCCACTGGTTAATTGTTCTGTCAGGAAGTTTCTCCTTAGTTCCAGGTTGCTTCTCTCCTTGATTAGTTTCCATCCATTGCTTTTTGTCCTGCCCTCAGGCGCTTTGGAGAATAGCTTGATTCCCTCTAATTTGTGGTAGCCCCTGAGATATTGGAAGACTGCTATCATGTCCCCCCTCGTCCTTCTCTTCGTTAAACTAGACATCCCCAATTCCAGCAACCGTTCCTTGTATGTTTCAGCCTTCAGTCCCCTGATCATCTTTGTTGCTCTTCTCTGCACCCTTTCTAGAGTCTCAATATCTTTTTTACATCGTGGTGACTAAAACTGGATGCAGGATTCCAAGTGTGGCCTTACCAAGGCATTGTAAAATGCATCCCAGTTGCCAGGTGTCCCGAATTCTGATCACGCGAGCCTGGGGATGCTGTAACGGTCATCAGTGCGAAAAACATTCCGTCCCTTTTTCAGTGCTGTTGTAACTCTGAACGGTCACTAAACGAACAGTTGTAAAGTGAGGATTTTACCTCTATGCAGCTCACTACCACACCCAATGCAAAAGGAGAAATGTATATTATGCTTTAATTCCAAATTAGGTTCATTTATTTAGAAAGGCTATAATGTGTGCAGGTTTTTAATGCACGTTCCAGTCCCCCAATCATTTTTCACTCATTTTCCACATCCTATTAATTTGGGGACCGATCAAAATCATCCACACGGGCCCTTTGGGGAAAGAATTAAAGCAGAAAACGATCCGAATCAAGTTGATTCGGTGCCAGACGAGTTTAAACCTTAATAAAGCTTGTATTTGACGGCAGCGTGCTACCTGTTTAAGTACTGCCACTGCGAGTGAACACAACTTTTTCCAAAACAACAAGGACATCATGCAAAAACATTTGTATATATTTTAATACACAAAAACAATCTTCCTAAATGGACTGGGAATTGGATCTAGAAGGGGACTCCAGGAGGGAAGAGCTAAACCAGGAATGTGTTTTCTTAAAAAAAAAAAAAGAAAATGTTTCAAACATACTAGGTCAAAAACTATTGCTAGGAGAGGGATGACAATTTAAATAAGAGTTCATTTAGGCCATGTTTTCAACACTACTAAGCGGGGAACCTGTGAGTATACCTTTTCTTCCACTAATAAGTTTCTCCTTTCATACAGCATTCTCTCTTTATGTCTGTCTGCCCTTTTATGAAATAACCCTTTACTTAAACACATATTTCCCCCCCCCACACACACACTCACTGATTCCTTCCTGTTATTTTGGTACAATTCTTCTACTGAGCTGAAAGCACAGTTGTTTAAAATTCTAAAGAGGAAACAAAAAAAAAAAAAACATGCAAAGTGAGAAAAGGGAGGGGGGAGGAACCTGTGAGAACAGTACCTTATTTTAATTTTTTTTTTTCCAAAAGCAATTTGTAACAAGATTCTGTCTTAGCCAGTTTTCCCTGTGGCGACCTTGCCTGTTTCTATGCTCAGGGTTTTCCAACAGATTTTAAATTGATGTGTAGCTTTCTAAACCGGTCCGGTGGGCTTTTTCTGACTCCGTTCTTGGTCCCCTTGCCAAAGATAAAATTCCTAGTTGAGGGTGCCCATTGAATTGCAGTGGAAACGTGGGTTTTTTTTTTTTTTTTTTTAAATCACTTGCGGGTTTTTCGGTAGAAAAATCAAATTCGAGCGCTCTTTAAATCGCCAGGTACTTGAGAAGGAGGAGATAGATAGATAGATAGATAGATAGATAGATAGATAGATAGATAGATAGATAGATAGATAGATAGATAGATAGATAGATAGATAGATAGATAGATAAATTTAGGAAGGCAAGCAGAAATATCAGAAAGTGATGGGCTCGTAGGAGGGCCCACCAGCCAGAAGCTTCTCAAGAAAACTGGGGAGAAAACAAACATCAGGAAACTTTGGACAGCAGAGGAAACATCTGCCTGTCAGCTGGGTGTTTGCCCTTCAGAATGGCGAAGCTGCTATACAAAACATCTCCTGCACAGTTCATTGTCCTTGTGACTGACAGCTGTCAGGAAGGGGCCAGGATGGCCTGGCCTGTCAAACAAATATGCTACTCAGCACTCTCTCTCTTTCTCCTAATGCTCTGAGCACGAGGGAGAAGCCAAGGAGAGTCCAACACAAGGTCCCCTTTGATTCCAGGGCTCTCCTGTTCTAGAACGTGTTCTTGATCTTGGCTGCCACCAGGATCAGGATCTCGCCAATCTTCCTCTGCCAGTTGCTGATGTCCTTGGACACCTCACACCACAGCTCGCCGTGCCGCGGCTCGGAGTTTTCGCAACGCTTTCTCACCTCTTCCTGCTGTTCCTGCATTTGGGGGGGGGGGAAGAAGGGGCAAAAAGCTTGTTTACCCATACAGGTTTTGTTTTTTTTAATTATGGTATTTTTCTCCTGCCTGTATTACTTGATAGGTAATCTAAGGTAATGTCAGGTAATATCAAGGGGGTAAATACATATAGATATACCTTCCTCCTCCTGGTTTCCCCAGAACAACAACCCTGTGAGGTAGGTTGGGCTACGAGAAAGTGACTGGCTAAATCACCCAGCTGGCTTTCCAGCCTAAGGCGGGACTAGAACTCATTGTCTCCTGGTGATTGGCCCAAAGTCACCCAATTGGCTTCTATGACTAAGGCGGGACTTAGAACTCAGTCTCCTGGTGAGTGGCCCAAAGTCACCCAACCAGCATTCAAGCTTAAAGTGGGACTAGAACTCCCAGTGTCCTGGCAAATGACCCAACGTACCCAGTAACTTCCATGCCTAAGGCAGGACTAGAACTCTCTCTCTCCCGGTGATTGATCCAAAGTCACCTAGCCAGATTCCATGCCTAAGGTAGGACTAGAACTCACTCTCTCCTGGTGATTGATCCAAAGTCACCTAGCCAGCTTCCATGCTTAAGGCAGGACTAGAACTCACTCTCTCCTGGTGATTGATCCAAAGTCACCTAGCCAGATTCCATGCCTAAGTCAGGACTAGAACTCACTCTCTCCCAGTGATTGATCCAAAGTCACCTAGCCGGCTTCCATGCCTAAAGTGGGACTAGAACTCCTAGTATCCTGGCAAATGACCCAACGTACCCAGTAACTTCCATGCCTAAGGCAGGACTAGAACCCTCTCTCTCCCGGTGATTGATCCAAAGTCACCTAGCCGGCTTCCATGTCTAAAGTGAGACTAGACCTCACTCTCTCCTGGTGATTGATCCAAAGTCATCTAGCCAGATTCCATGCCTAAGGCAGGACTAGAACTCACCACCTCCTGGTGACTGGCCCAAAGTCACCTAGCCGACCCTCCCCAATGAGCAAAGTCTCTCCATATAAGTCCCTGTTTGAATTAAGCAACTTTTTCCTTACCTCGGTGCCGTGCTGAAGCTCAAATTTATAAAAGAAAGCCCAAGCATCCCCCAGGTCAGAATCGATCTTCACAGTCCGATGGAACCACTCCCGGGCCTTGGTTATTTTGCGTTCGCTCCAGAACAATCTGCAGAAGAGGAGGAGGAGAAGGAAGGAGAAGACAAGCTAAGGAGACCAGGAACACCTTTCTGTTTAAAACAGAGTCTTGAGGAGGATGACCATTTGTCTGGGATGCTATAAGGCAGTGATGGCGAACCTTTTAGAGACTGAGTGCCCAAACTACAACCCAAAAACCCACTTATGTATCACTGGGTGCCAGGTGGGCTTGGCCCATTGGGTGGGCGTGGCTGCGGTGGTAACGGCAGACTGGGTGGGACTAAAAAGTTCAATCAATCAATTCCAACTTTGCGAGATCTTTTTTTTCCCCCCGAAAAGTTGAAATTGACTGATTGATTGAACTTTTTTTTTTGCACACGGCGACGGAGGCCTAAAGCGAAAAGGTTTTATAAAACCCAGCTGAAGGCCTAGGACTGGGGCGACGGCACGCCTGCCCACAGAGAGGTCTCTGTGTGCCACCTGTGGCACTCATGCCATAGGTTCGCCACCACAGCTATAAGGTCTCCCGCCTTGAGCAAGGGGTTGGAATAGATGACCTCCAGGGACCCTCCAGGGACCCTAGGATTCTATGAAGATGGAGAATGGAATCTTTCTGTATAAGAGAACAAGTAGCCGCCATACAGGCAGTCCTCGACTTAGAACCATTCCTTTAGCAACCATTCAAAGTTACAACAACACCAGAAAAAGCGACCTGTGTCCGGTCCTCACACTTATGACCATCACAGCATTCTCCCCTGTCATGCAATCAATGTGTATTTAGGGCAGTTGCAGTATCCCAGGGTCCTGGGATTGCCATTTGCGATCCGGCTTCCATCAAGCAGTCAATGAGGGAAGCTGGATATGCTTAACGACCAGGTGACCCGCTTAAAAACTGCAGTGATTCACTTAACAACCATGAACAAAAAAAAATGTTGTAAAAACTGGGCACAATTAGCAACCAGCCTTGCTTGGCCACAGAAATTCCGGTCCCAGCTGCGTTTGTTAAGTCGAGGACTATCTACATACAAATCGTATGAGTATATAAATAAATTCATTCTCTGATAATGATGTGGCTTCCAAACGTGGAAATCTAACCAAAGCAGATTCAGTTTGTGACTTAATGTCACGGTTCCAACAGATGAAACTCTTCAAAAGAACTTCGAGGCGTTGTTTACCTTAAAGCAGTGTTTCTCAACCTTGACAATTTTAAGGCATGTGGACTTCAACTCCCAGAATTCCACAGCCAGCAATGCTGGCTGTGGACATCTGGGAGTTGAAGTCCATATGCCTTAAAATTGTCAAGGTTGAGAAACACTGCCCTAAAGGATCTTTATTTTGAGTAGCATAACATTGGCACCGCAAAATCGAAGCCAAAAACTGAATTCCCCTCCCCTGAGCACATAGTACCAAAGCACAATTCCCTCCTCCAATTAACAGTCATAAATCACATCCCCCAATTAGCTTGAAACGCAGGCTTCCTCTCCAGTTTTCCAGCCCACAATTCCTTATCAGCTCTGGTTACAATAACCTTGTTTCTCACACTAGGTCTAGAGTTGTTATGTCTAGCTGGACTCTCGCTCACACACCCCCCTCCCTCCCAGCATCATCTAACTTTAAAAGCAAAAGGTAAAAGATGGCTACGTTTCCCTCTGTTGTCAATGCAAAAACATCCGGCGTTCGCAGCGTCGACACCAGAGACTCTTAAGCACCACTGAGAAAAACGACCAGGAGCGCGGCCTTGATTGTAAAATGTCCAGCTTTCCTTGCTGGTGGTTATCCGTTCTGAAACATTCCTTTTTAAAATAATTCCCTCAATCAGAATAGCTGCCTCCGTGCTCTTTTACAGGGACGCATTCTGCATCGCAGCAGAGAGGCTCAGTCAAGACCCAAGGAGTTCCAGTTCTTGACATTTAATAAAAAGGCCGTCTGGCAGATCAAGCTGTTCCACTGTGCATGTTTATGGTCTAGTAAACATGATTTTGGGATGGGGGGGGGAGAAGACTGATTCCTTCAATTGCTTAAAGTGAGGGGAGAATGTTATTTGCAAAATGTGCAGGTCTTAGAACCAAGAGTTTGCTGAAAGTTGAGGCTTGTGCTTGTTGTTAGTTACAAAGTCGTGTCCGACCCATCGCGACCCCATGGACAATGTTCCTCCAGGCCTTCCTGTCCTCTGCCATCTTCTGGAGTCCATTGAAGCTCACGCCTCCTGCTTCAGTGACTCCATCCAGCTACCTCCTTCTCTGTCGTCCCCTTCTCCTATTGCCTTCAGTCTTTCCCAGCATCAGGCTCTTCTCCAGTGAGTCCTTCCTTCTCATTAGGTGGCCAAAGTACTTGAGTTTCCACTTCAGGATCTGGCCTTCTAAAGAGCAGTCGGGGTTGATCTCCTCTAGGACTGACCGGTTGGATCGTCTTGCAGTCCAGGGGACTCGCAGGAATCTTCTCCAGCACCAGAGTTCAAAGGCCTCCATTCTTTGGCGCTCGGCCTTTCTTATGGTCCTTGTGCTTGTGCTTAAAACCACCCAAAGCCTCTTTGTTGGTGCAAAAAGATAATTTTATCTATTGATTTATATCTCACCTTTGTTGCTTTATGCTCAAGGCAGCAAACCTATTTAACACTCCTTTCTCTTTTTCTCCACAGTAACAGCCCTGTGTGGTTAACGGGGCAGGGAGAGAGGAGGGCTGGCCCAGAGTCACCCAGCTGATTTTTTTTTCACGCCTAAGGCAGGACTCGAACTCATCCTCTCCTGGTGATTGGCACAAAATTACCCATCTGGCTTTCAGGCTAAGGCAGGACTAGAACTCATCGTCTCCTGGTGACTGGCTCCAAATTACCTCGTTTGGGTAACAAAATGTCTGCAATATGCAGTATGAGGCAGTGAGCCACATGCAGATCTGTACATTGGGGAAACCAAACAACGTCATAAACAGGTGGCACAACATAGCACAGTGGTGGCGAACCTATGGCGGGGTGCCAGAGGCAGCACTCAGAGCCCTCTCTGTGGGCACATGTGCCATCGCCCCAGTCCTAGGTCTTCAGCTGGGTTTTATAAAACCTTTTCGCTTTAGGCCTCCGCCACCGTTTGCAAAAAAAAAAGGTTCAATCAATCAGTCAATTGAACTAAGAACTAAGGAGAAACTTCCTGACAGAACAATTAACCAGTGGAACATCCTGCCTCCAGAAGCAGTAAATGCTCCAACACTAGAAGTTTTTAAGAAGAGACTGGACAGCCATTTGTCCGAAATGGTGTAGGGTTTCCTCCCTGAGCAGGGGTTGGACTAGATGACCTCCAAGGTCACTTCCAACTTTACTACTACTATTATTATTATTATAACTTCTCGCGGGAAAAAAAAGTTGTTGCAAAGTTGGAATTGATTGAACTTTTTAGTGTCATCCAGTCTGCCGTTACCACCACAGCCACGCCCACCCAATGGGCCACACCCAGCCAATGGGCCACACCCACCCGGCACCTGACGATGCATAAGTGGGTTTTGGGTTGCAGTTTGGGCACTCGGTCTCTAAAAGGTTCGCCATCACTGACCTAGGAGAACAAACCCATCAGGACAAGATTCAGCAGTCCATCTGCATTTGAAAGACAAGAGATGGTCTTTTGAAGACAGCAAAGTCCACATTTTGGACAGAGGGGACCGCTGGTTTGAAAGAGGGGTCAAAGAGGCCATCTAGGTCAAAACTGAACAGCCCACTCTCAACGGGGAGGGGGGGGAATACAACATTGTGTATCTCCAGTCTACAACACCTTCCTTTCAGCAGTTCCAAGAAGGCTCCACACTCATTTGCACATTATTCAGGTGACCCTGAGGACACAGATAAGCCTCCAAGACTTCAGGGGTTCTCAACCTTGGCCACTTTAAGACTTGTGGACTTCAACTCCCAGAACTCCTCAGCCAGCAAAGCTGGCTGAGGAATTCTGGGAGTTGAAGTCCACAAGTCTTAAAGTGGCCAAGGTTGAGAACCCCTGCTCCAAGTGGTCTCAACGACTCTCTAAAAGAAGGCAAATGACCAGCTGTCTGCAAGGCGTATCAATCCTTCCATCTTCCACCATTCAGCCAAAACTGAAGAAGCTTCCAGGATGAGAAGCAAAACATCTTCCAAGAAAAACAAGGAAGTCCAGTTGCCTCCTGAAAAAAAACATCTTTGGGACCACCACGAGAACCCCCTTAGAAATGCCTGCAAGAAAATCAGCCAGCCCAGGACCCCTCGTGTCAACCCTCAGCTACAAACATTCCCCTTTATTAATGGTTTTCAGGGTAGAGAGATGGAGAAACGGCGCCCAGCCTCCCCAGGAATTTTTTTCTACTCAATCTGGGCCGGGAGAGGATTCGGCGAGCACGTCCAGTGCTCCTCTGCTCCTTAAAGTAATGGAAAAGGACGGCGAGTGCCATTGTGATGACAGGGATGGTTAACAAGGAGGGAGTCCCTGGCAGTAGCCCAAGGAACCCACTGCGTGTTCCCTAATCTTTCACAGTCAAAGGAAAAGGACGGAAGGCTCCACTCAGGCTTAATTGCAAGAAAAAAGTTCTGCTTTTGAGCCAACAGAAATATGACAAGGGTGTCTCTGAACACAGGACGGTGGCTTTTGTTTGTTTGTTTTCTTGGCAAACAACATAGAATGATCGGGTTGAAAGGGACTTGGAAGTCCTCCAGTCCAACGCCCCAAAGGGGAGACAAACTTTCCCTCCCAATGAAGCTTTCATGGGCAGCCTTTTAATAAAAGGTGTTAGAGATGGCCCGGATTCCCTCTCCCAATATAATCCATTCCACCTTTTCCTTCCTTCCTTCCTTCCTTCCTTCCTTCCTTCCTTCCTTCCTTCCTTCCTTCCTTCCTTCCTTTTCCTTCCTTCCTTCCATTCCATTCCCTTCTTTCCTTCCATTCCATTCCCTTCCTTCCATTCCATTCCCTTCCTTCCTTTCCATTCCTTCCTTCCTTTCCATTTCATTCCATTCCCTTCCTTCCTTCCTTCTTTCCATTCCCTTCCTTCCTTCCATTCCATTTCCTTCCTTTCCCTTCCCTTCCTTTCCATTCCATTCCATTTCCTTCCTCCTTTCCTTTCCTTTCCTTTCCTTCCTTCCTCCCTCTCCTTTCCTTCCTTCCATTCCATTCCCTTCCTTCCTTTCCATTTCATTCCATTCCCTTCCTTCCTTCCTTCTTTCCATTCCCTTTTCCTTCCATTCCATTTCCTTCCTTTCCCTTCCCTTCCTTTCCATTCCATTTCCTTCCTCCTTTCCTTTCCTCTTTTCCTTTTCCTTCCTTACTTCCTTCCTTCCTTCCTTCCTCCCTTCCCTTCCCTTCCCTAAAGCATTTTCCTTTCAAAGGGCCATCTGGTCTGCATTGTTATTTTATTTCTGTTTCATCAACACAAAAGGAAGAAACAAAGATGGGTAGAGTCGACCCAGGGCTGCCCCTGTTGTTTTCGCTTTTGTCTTCAAAACTGTCAACAGCCTTTCCAGCTCTCTTTCTCCCGCCCCGCAAACTCCGTTCCCTTTGATCCGTGTTAGTGTGGAGAAGAGAGAAGCGAACGTGAAGTGGTACTGAGGAATAGCAAAAACTAGAAAACGGAGGTGTGAAATTACCCTTTGCTTACTTTCACCTATTACGACTGTTTCTCAACCTTGGCAACTTTGAAAATGTGTGGACTTCAACTCCCAGAATTCCCCAGCCAGCAATGTCGGACTCCACACATCTTCAAAGTTGCCAAGGTTGAGAAACACTGACGTGGTCCAGCCATCTGCACTGTGCAGAAAAGCTGGGGAATCCTGGGAGTTGAAGTCCACACATTTGAGAAACACTGGCCACGGTTGAGAAACACTGGCCTAAGCCAGGGGTAGGCAATCTTGGCTCTTTTATGACTCGTGGACTTCAACTCCCAGAATTCCTGAGCCAGGATGGGCAAACTATGGCCCCCTCATGACTCGTGGACTTCAACTCCCAGAATTCCTGAACCAACATGGCTCAGCTTGGAAACCTCTCCGTTTCCCCTCAGCATGGCTGCCTCAGGAATTCTGGGAGTTGAAGTCCACAAGTCATAAAAGAACCAAGGCTGAAGACCCCTGGTTTAAATATTTAAATATTTTTTCCTCACGGTCACGTGATCAAAATTCAGGCATTTGGGCAGGGGTAGGCAACCGTGGCTCTTTTGTGACTCATGGACTTCAACTCCCAGAATTCCTAGGCCAGCCTGGCTCAGCTTGGAAACCTCTCCATTTTCCCTCAGCATGGCTGGCTCATGAATTCTGGGAGTTGAAGTCCACGAGTCATAAAAGAGGCAAGGTTGCCTATCCCTGGCCTAGGCTCTCAGTCTCTCAGCAAATATTCCATTTGACCTTTTTTTTTAGAGCAGTGGGGAGTCTGTAATGTATATCCAATTAACAACTGCTTGAGGGGGGTGTATTCAACCTCCTTAAAATAAACAGGCATTATTACTTACTTGGCCACTGCCAGGAGGACGTGGGGATCGTGTTCACACTTCTTCAGGCCGTCCACGCTCTTGGTCTTCCGTTGAGGTCTGGCCTCTAAAAAGATGGCTTCTGACCACAGAATTCCTAAAAGGCAGAAGACAAAACTGATCCAGGACTATCTCAAATTCATGCAGATTGTCCTTGACTTACGACCAGTTGCTTAGCAACTAAAGTTATGAAAGACTTCTCCAAAGCTACTTACAAGGGGGGGAGGGGATCAAAGTATTTTCCAAAGCAAATTTTCCAAAAATGAGAAGCAACGGATGGAAATTAACCAATGAGAGAAGCAACCTGGAACTGAGGAGAAATTTCCTGACAGGGAGAACAATGAATCAGTGGAACGACTTGCCACCAGAAGTTGCCACCACTTTCAAACAGGCCGTGGCCTGGTAGTGGCCTGGGAGTTAGAATAGAATAGAATAATAAAGTTGGAAGGGACCTTGGAGGTCTTCTAGTCCAACCCCCTGCTCAGGCAGGAAACCCTATACCATTTCAGACAAATGGCTGTCCAGTCTCTTCTTAAAAACCTCCAAGTGATGGAGCACCCACAACTTCTGAAGAGAAGTCCGTCCACTAATTAATTGTTCTGATTGTCGGGAAATTTCTCCTTAGTGCTAGGTTGCTTCTCTCCTGGATTAGTTTCCATCCATTGCTTCTTGTCCTGCCTTCAGGTACTTTGGAAAATAGCTTGACTCCCTCTTCTTTGGGGCAGCCCCTGGGATATTGGAACACTGCTATCCTGTCCCCCCTCGTCCTTCTCTTCATTAAACTAGACATACCCAATTCCAGCAACCGTTCTTATGTGTTTTAGCCTCCAGTCCCCTGATCATCTTTGTTGCTCTTCTCTGCCCTCTTTCTAGAGTCTCAGCATCTTTTTTACATTGTTGTGACCAAAACTGGATGCAGTATTCCAAGTGTGGCCTTGCCAAGGCATTGTAAAGTGGTATTAACGCTTGAGGTCAGACATGTCAAACACAAGGACCAGGGGCCAGATGCGGCCTGTGAAGGGGTTTCATGTGGCCTGCAAAGCCATCTTGGAAACAGTGAGGGAACGGCCCCCACTGCCTTGGCCCTGGCCCTGGCCGGCCAGGAGCCAATGTACAATTTTGTGGTGGCCATCTATGCTGAAACACATTCAGTCTTAGCTCCACAAGGCCGTCTGGAAACAGCGAGGAACCAGCCCCTGCCGTGTCGGCCCCACCCCTTGGGTGCATGCTGGGGAGGTGTCACCCTTTGTGAGGAATGAAGAAATGCACCATCACCTGGAAGTGGCCGGCAAATGGCCCTCGCCTACTTCACATATCCGGCTTGATGGGCTCCGGTGGAGGGGTTTCGGCAGGCAGTGAGGCTCCTCCAGTGGACCATGCCTTGGCGCTTGCCTTAGTCCCACCCTCTTCTGCCAGAGACTCTCAGATCTGTCCCACTCCTGCCCAGACCCCCACAGGCACCCTTGATGCGAACGATGTAGAGCTGGCCACGCCCACCCAATAGGCCACACCCACTCTGTCCACGCCCACCCAATAGGCCACACCCACCCAGTAGGCCACACATCCCGCCCTCCCCCGAGGGCAACCACAATGCTGATGTGGCCCTCAATGAAATTGAGTTTGACACCCCTGCTTCAGGTGATCTTGATTCTATCCCTCTGTTAATGCAGCCCAGCACTGTGTTGGCTTTTTTGGCAGCTGCAGCACACGGCTGCAGTTGGAGACCCCCATCCTAGACCCAATCTCGTACCTGAATTGGGACACTCCTGCAGGGCTTTTGCCATCAAAGTGTTTGCGATGTTCTTCAGCCCAGCTCGGTACTCCAAGCGTACCGATTCCAGCCTACAGAAACAGAGAGAGAAGCAGGTTTTGGCTAGAAAAGCTGGAAGGGAGCACCAGGAAGGCTTCCCCACCAACTTTCGTCCTTCCTTTTATTAAACAACATTTCATTTTATTTTATTCAGAAAATTAAAACACAAAAAGAAAGAAAGAAAGAAAGAAAGAAAGAAAAGAAAGAAAGAAAGAAAGAAAGAAAGAAAGAAAAAAAGAAAGAAAAAAGAAAGAAAGAAAGATGGGAGGGAAGGAAGGAAGATGGGAGGGAGGGAGGGAAGGAAGGAAGGAAGAAAAATGGAAGGAAGGAAGGAAGATGGGAAGAAGGAAGGAAGGAAGGAAGAAGGAAGAAAGAAAGAAAGAAAGAAAGAAAGAAAGAAAGAAAGAAAGAAAGAAAGAAAGAAAGAAAGAAGGACATTTTACAAAAAGAAAAGAAAATAGAGAATTTTCTAAAAAGAAATGTGCATTAAAAAGGACGAAAGACCAAAGCACATATACATACATTATCTCCCCTGGCTGATTAACGTATTGCAGCAATGTTAGTTTCTCCCCCCCCCCCTTACGAAGCAGGCCCATAATTTATAAACTTCTATATCTATTTACAACCAACTTGGCCTATCCTCTGTCTACTATATGTAAAAAACAAAAGTAGTTAAGAGGTAATCAACAGGGCGGCACAGCAGCTCAGCAGCTGGGTTTGGCTAGTTCAGGGGTAGGCAACCTGGGCTCTTTTTTGAGTCGTGGACTTCAACTCCCAGAATTCCTGAGTCACCATGGGGGAACTATGGCCCCCTCATGACTCGTGGACTTCAATTCCCAGAATTCCCGAGCCAGCATGGCTCAGCTTGGAAACCTCTCCCTTTCCCCTCAGCAGGGCTGGCTCAGGAATTCTGGGAGTTGAAGTCCACGAGTCACAAAAGAGCCAAGTTTACCTACCTCTGGCCTGGGCCTAGGCCGCTTCATGACTCGTGGACTTCAACTCCCAGAATTCCTAGCCAGCATGGCTCAGCTTGGAAACCTCTCCCTTTCCCCTCAGCAGGGCTGGCTCAGGAATTCTGGGAGTTGAAGTCCACGAGTCACATAAGAGCCAAGGTTCCCCGCCTCTGGGCTAGTCTAAAGAAAAGAAGAAATAGGGGAGACGTGATAGTAGTCCCAGTATCTTGAGGGGCTGCCACAAGGCAGAGGGGGCCAGCTGGTTCACCAAAGCACCAGAGGGCAGGATGAGAAACAATGGTTGGAAACTGATCAAGGAGAAAAGCAACCTAGAATTAAGGATATGTTTCCTGACAGCGAGGACACTCAACCAGTGGAACACCTTGCCTCCAGAAATCGTGGGCGCTCCATCACTGGAGATTTTTAAGAAGAAACTGTCTTGAGACGGTATAGGTTCTCCCGCTTGAGCAGGGGGCTGGACTAGAAGACCTCCAAGGTTCCTTCCAGCTCTATTCTATTCTGTTCCATTAAGATACTGGCTTTCTCGGCTAGAAAAGCTGGTTGCCCAGGTTTGTGACTCGAGCACCACGCGATGGGGTGAGCTCCTGCTCCTTGCTCCAGCTCCTGCCCTTCCTAGCAGTTGGGAAGCACGCAAATGCGAGTAGGTAAATAGGTACCACTTTGGTGGGAAGGTAACAGCACTCCGTGACGTCATGCAGGCCACGTGACCACGGAAATGCCTTTGGACAGAGCTGGCTCAACAGCCTTGAAAGGGAGGTGAGCAGCGCAATGACGAGTGGGGTAAAATCTGCAGGGACTCAACCCAGTGGTTCTCAACCTGTGGGTCGGGACCCCATTTGGAGTCGAACGACCATTTCACGGGGATCGCCAAACAACGCAGTCCGCCATTTTTTTCTCCCTTTTCCTTAGCTGTGCTACTCTCTTTTATTCTATTGGCTTTTGAAAGCCAATAGAATAGACTCTCTTGAATAGAGTCTAATTCTATTGGCTTTCAAAAGCCAATAGGAATTGTCCAGGCTGTCTCTGCCCTGCTGAGCCCGCCAAAAGTCCCATTCTGCAAACGGTTGAGTAGTCCTCGACTTATGACCGGTTGGGGTCGCGGCATTAAAAAGGTTGAGAACCACTGCCTTAACAGGTTAATCAATCAACCGTGAAGTTTGACTTCAAAGCCCTCCGTCATTGTGTTTCACGGCTTCTGATCGGTAGGCTTTCCTCCTTACCACAAATCTTGGTTCTTGGGATTCTTCAGGCGAGATTTCTCCAAGATGGCTCTGGCCCGGGTGAGCTGGCCAACCTTCTCTTCCAGTCTGGACAGCAGCAGCCAAAGGGGGATTGAACCCGGGCATTTTTTCAGCTGTTGGGAAGTGGACGGAGAGAAAATGTTGTACGGGTTAAGTCCTCGACTTATCAGCATTCGCTTAGGGATCATTATGGGGGGGGGGGTACTGAAAAAAGTGACTTATGACCGTTTTTCACACTTACGGCCGCTGCAGCATCCCCGTGGTCATTGATCTAAATTCAAAAGCTTGGAAACTGGCATGTACTTATGACGGTTGCAGGGTCCTGGGGTCACGTGATCCCCTTTTTGCGATCTTCTGACAAGCCAAGTCAGTGGGGAAGCCAGATCCACTCATAACTGCAGTGATTCCTCAATATACCTGTGTTTCCCTCAAAATAAGACTGGGTCTTTCTTTCTTTCTTTCTTTCTCTCTCTCTCTCTTTCTTTCTTTCTCTTTCCTTCCTCCTTCCTTCCTTCCTTTCTCTCTCTCCTTCCTTCCTTCCTTCTTTCCCCCCCTCTCTCTCCCTCCTTCCTTCCTTCCTTTTTTTCTTTCTTTTTCTTATTTATTTATTGCCTCCAAAAGAGGCACCAGGTCTTATATTCGGGATGTGCGTCTTTTTTACTTACCTTCTGCACCGACAGCCCTGCCCAGCTGGCCCACTTCTTCTGTGGCGGAAGGAGCAGCTTCATTCTGCAGCTGAGAATGGGAGCTCCGGCCTGCATTTCGCAGTCAGGCCTTTCCGGAAGGCCTCTGCAGCCAAGTACCGAGCTATGGATTCAATCCGGAGCTCAGTTCTTGGCTGCAGTGGCCTTTCCAGAAATGCAGGCCTAAGAAATGCAGGCCTGGCTGAAGGAGATGCCACAGAAGAAGTGGACCGGCAAGGAGAGGCCTGGCTGCAAGAAAAAAGTGGGTGTGGGTGCGTGGATTGGCTCCACCTCCCCACCCCCACCCTAGCTTGATTTTTAAGTGTGTGCCTCACCGCAAAACTAGGGCTTATTTTGGGGGTAGGGCTTCTATTAACCCCCCCCAAATCAAGCTAGGGCTTATTTTCAGAGTAGGCCTTACTTTCAGGGAAGCAGTCTATTATTTTCACTATGTGGCAAAAAAACAAACAAAACCCACCCATTGTAGACACCGAATGACTCTGGTGTTCTTTCAATGACCACCGTGTTCGCTTTATGACCGCTATATTCGCTTAAGGCAGGGGTGTCAAACTCAATTTCATTGAGGGCCGCATCAGCATTGCGGTTGCCCTCAGGGGGGGTGCGGCCTACTGGGTGGGCATGGATGGAGTGGGTGTGGCCTACTGGGTGGGCATGGCCAGTTCTACATCATTCGCGTCAAGGGTGCCTGTGGGGGCCTGGGCAGGAGTGGGACAGATCTGAGGGTCTCTGGCAAAAGGGGATGGGAGCAGGGCGAGCGCCAAGGCATGGTCCATTTCTTCATTCCTCACAAAGGGTGACCCCTCCCCAGCATGCACCCAGGGGGCGGGGCCAACGCGGCAGGGGCTGGTTCCGGATGGCCTTGTGGAGCTAAGACTGAATGCGTTTCAGCATAGATGGCCACCACAAAATTGTACATTGGCTCCCAGCTGGACTGGGCCAGGGCCAAGGCAGTGGGGGCCATTCCCTCCCTGTTTCCAGGATGGCTTCACGGGCCACATAAAACCCCTTTGCGGGCCGCATCTGGCCCCCGGGCCTTGTGTTTGACATGTCTGGCTTAAGGACTCCCCATGCACAGGGATAATAAGGACATTCTGAGACAGGCCAGGATCTTCTCCGCGAGCGAGAGAGGCTTACCCCTTGATTGTAGGCATCCCGGGCGTTCTCCATCAGCTCCTCCTGCTCTTCTATCTGCCCTTTCATCATCCAGAGCTTGGGGAAGTCTTCATAATGCTTCAGGGCTTCCTCACAGAGCTCCTGGGCGGCGGCAATGTTCCCAAGCACCCACTCGAGTTTGACAGATTTCATGAAGACCTGGGAAGAAGCAAGGAGCCTTCGCCTTCGACCCTAATCCAGAGGAATCCCCCCACCTTCCAAAATTTTTACACACACACACACACACACACACACACACACACTGACTAGAGGTTTTGAGGACGGCCACAATTGCCAGATGCACGTTAAGTGCTGCACAGGGTCTACTCAACTACCCTGACTGTAATAGCACAGCAGCTTGTTTCAAGTTGTTCCTAAGCTCCTTCCCCCCCCCCCCCCCCGAGGAGGGACTTAGAAAAAAAATGGGAATATTGTAAACGACAGATGCGGATTTTACCTATTTGGCAATGTTCTATATTTATTTATTTTTGTCATCTTTATGTAGTGTAGATCGGAGGGGGTGACCCTTTGAGAGCTGAATGCAACGAAATTTCATTTTAATGTATGTTAATTAGTGTACATGTAAAGTGACAATAAAGTTATTATTCTATTCTATTCTATTCTACTCTACTCCTATTCTATTCTATTCTTCTATTCTATATTCTATTCTATTCTATATTCTATTCTATTCTTTTCTATTCTATATTCTATTCTATTATTCTATTCTATATTCTATTCTATTCTATTCTATATTCTATTCTTTTCTATATTCTATATTCTATATTCTATTCCATTCCACTCCACTCCTATTTTGTATTCTATATTCTATTCTTTTCTATTCTATATTCTGCTCTATTCTATATTCTATTCTATATTCTATTCTATTCTATATTTTATTCTATTCTATTCTATATTCTATTCTTTTCTATTCTATATTCTATTCTATTCTATTATTCTATTCTATATTCTATATTCTATTCTATTCTATATTCTATTTTTTTCTATATTCTATTTTTTTCTATATTCTATATTCTATATTCTATTCTATTCTATTCTATTCTATTCTATTCTATTCTATTCTATTCTATTCCACTCCACTCCTATTCTGTATTCTATATTCTATATTCTATTCTTTTCTATTCTATATTCTGTTCTATTCTATATTCTATTCTATATTCTATTCTACTCCACTCCACTCCACTCCACTCTATTGCTATTCCTATTCCATGCCATGCCATGCTATGCTATGAAAAATAAAACGAGAAAAATTGGTCTGCCAACCTGTTAAATAATAAATTAATTGTAATAATTATAGCCTGCAAGTTAATTTGGTATAGTAGTTAAGGCATCAGACTAGAAACTGTGGGTTCTAGTCTTGCCTTAGGTATGAAAGCTGGATGGGAAACTTTAGGCCAATCACTAGGTGACTATGAGTTCTAGTCCCGCCTTAGGCATGAAAGCCGGCTGGGTCACTTTGGGCCAATCACCAGGAGACTTTGAGTTCTAGTCTTGCCTTAGGCATGAAAGCCAGTTGGGTGACTTTGGGCCGATCCCCAAGAGACATGAGTTCTAGTCCCGCCTTAGGTCTGAAAGCCAGCTGGGTGACTTTGGGCCAATCACCAGGAGACAGTGAGTTCTAGTCCTGCCTTAGAACTGACAGCACAGCCACTGATAGGAATTCAGGGAGATGAAGTCTCTACTGCTAGAAATGGCCAAAATTGGGATACACTGAACCGAGCAGATGAGCAGAAAACACAGCTTGATGCGTTAACGGAAAGCGACAGAAGTTCTTTCAACAGATTTACATTCTCCAGATAGAGTGGACTTACCCTCGCCGTGGGGGCGCTGCTACGGGCCTTGGCCAACAAGCGCCTCGCTCGTTCGTATTCGTTATTTTCGGATTCCAACTTCACGGCAGCCAGCCAAATCTCTTCGCTGTTGGGATTGGCCTGAAAATATCAAGTCATCAAGAGAGACAGGAAAGAAGCATCAGAAAGTCTCGTTGCACCAGGGCGAATGTATCGGGCTGAATCCTCCACTTCTTCTATTCCAGGGGTCTTCCAACTTGGCCCTTTTATGACTTGTGGACTTCAGCTCCCAGAATTCCTCAGCCAGGCACTCCCAAGTTGGAAGACCCCCCCTGTTTTATTCTGTTATGAGTGGCACTTTGTGCTAGCTAAGTATCATGAGAGACAGTTTGGTCTGCTGGTTAAGACACCACTTTAGAGAGCGGGAGGGCTGAACTAATCTACAAATGTGTATAAATAACCAACTTCTTTTATTCATTGTTGTTGTTATTATTTCATCTTCAATTCGATTCACGGTCTGGGGCTGGTAAAAACTGAACAGTTCAAGTCCTAACCAAGGACCTAAGAGCTGTTAAAGTGAGGTCTGAGTACATGGGCAGTTCGAGTAGAGTGGTGCTTTGCAAAGTCAAACTATTCAGGTCTAATAAGTACAGGATTTCCATATATCTAGGCCAGTGGTTCTCAACCTTTTTAATGCCGTGACCCCCCAACCGATCGTAAGTCGAGGACTACTCAACTGGTGCAGCACCGTTTGCAGAATGGGACTTTTGGCGGACTCAGCAGGACAGAGACAGCCTGGACAATTCCTATTGGCTTTTGAAAGCCAATAGAATTAGACTCTATTCAAGAGAGTCTATTCTATTGGCTTTCAAAAGCCAATAGAATAAAAGGGAGGAGCCCAGCTAATGAAAAGGGGGGAAAAAATGGCGGACTGCGTTGTTTGGCGACCCCAGTGAAATGGTCATTCGACCCCAAATGGGGTCCCGACCCACAGGTTGATAACACTGATCTAGGCAGTTTATTGTCAAATCAGTATGATTCAGTTTTTCCGAAGCTAGCTTGTTTTTGATATACTGTCTGTAAAACTAGGCAGACCTTGGTCGCCCATTGATTGCATCATTGATTGTGATGTATTGCTATGTTCTCTTAGGATAGTTCTGTTTAGTTTTGTTTTATTTGGATGCTTGGTTTATGTGTGGCCTTTGGCTGTAATAAATTGAATTGAATATATCTAGGCAGCCCTGTTGTTGTTGTTATCTTATGGGGCCAAATTACTAGTTAATCAGAACTGTATGCAGCCCACAGACATGCCTGATCTACATCATATTTTTATCTCATTTTTTTTTAAAAAAAAAACAACAACCTGAAAACGTTTTGAGCAGATGGCCAGTCATGCTTCTAAACAAAATCTAAAATACTGTGTAATCCAGTGTTTCTCAAACTTGGCAACTTGAAGTTGGGTGGACTTCAACTCCCAGAATTCCCCATTCCCTACAGCTTCCTTTCTGAAATGGGCTCAATGCTTTAAGACAGGGTTTCTCAACATGGGCAACTTAATAATAATAATAATAATAATAATAATAATAATAATAATAATAATAATAATAATAATAATAAAGTTGGAAGGGACCTTGGAGGTCATCTAATCCAGCCCCCTGCTCAGGCAGGAAACCCTATGCCATTTCGGACAAATGGCTGTCCAGTCTCTTCTTAAAAACCTTCCAGTGTTGGAGCATTCACCGCTTCTGGAGGCAGGTTGTTCCACTGGTTAATTGTTCTCACTGTCAGCAAGTTTCTCCTTAATTCTAGGTTGCTTCTCTCCTTGGTGAGTTTCCACCCGTTGCTTCTTGTCCTCCCTTCAGGCGCTTTGGAGAAGAGCTTGACTCCCTCTTCTTTGGGGCAGCCCCGGAGATATTGGAAGGCTGCTATCCTGTCCCCCCTCGTCCTTCTCTTCATTAAACTACTAGACATACCCAATTCCAGCAACCGTTCCTTATATGTTTTAGCCTCCAGTCCCCTAATCGTCTTTGTTGCTCTTCTCTGTACTCTTTCTAGAGTCTCAACATCTTTTTTACAGCACGGTGACCAAAACTGGATGCAGGATTCCAGGTGTGGCCTTAACCAAGGCATTGTAAAGTGGTATTAACACTTCAGGTGATCTTGATTCTATCCCTCTGTTAATGCACCCTAGCACTATGTTGGCCTTTTTGGCAGCTGCAGTATGGCTGGCTCATATTTAGATGATTGTCCACTAGGACTCCAAGATCCCTCTCACAGTTACTACTATTGAGCCGTTTCTTATATGTTTTAGCCTCCAGTCCTCTAATCATCTTTGTTGTTCAGGCTAGGGAATTCTAGGAGTTGAAGCTCACACATCTTCAAATTGCCAAGATTTAGAAATACTGCTGTTAGCCCTCTGTTCCAAAGGGATCCCTGCCCAAGGGGAGGACCCGATGAACGCCGTGCACTCACCTGGAAAGCCAAGGCCAGGATACTCCTGGCTGCAGGGACATCGCCGGCCAGCCATTTGGATTTTGCCCCCATGAGCCACAAGACTTCAGCCTTGGGGCAGTGAGCCACCGCCCTTTGCAAAAGAGCCTCCAAAGATTCCCTGAAAGTAGACAGCAGCCCAAAGAAATTAGCAGGCCATCGTCCGGGCATCTCGCTTGTGATTTTAAATTTAAAGATGCAACACAGGTAGTCCTTGACTTACAACAGTTCATTTACAGTGGGGCAAAAAAGTATTTAGTCAGCCACCAAGTTCTCCCACTTAAAAAGATGAGAGAGGCCTGTAATTGTCATCATAGGTAGACCTCAACTATGAGAGACAAAATGACAAAATTTTGTGATTGTCTGGATTTCTTTTCTCATTTTGTCTCTCATAGTTGAGGTCTACCTATGATGACAATTACAGGCCTCTCTCATCTTAAGTGGGAGAACTTGCACAATTGGGGGCTGACTAAATACTTTTTGCCCCACTGTACCTGTTTCCCCCAAAATAAGACCGGGTCATATATTAATTTTTGCTCCAAAAGAGACATTTTCCGGTTAAGCCTTATTTGGGGGGAAAACACGGTGCTAAATGCATCCGTCTGTCTGACAATCTTAATGGGGGCTTGTATTACAAGCGTCTTGAAAAATCATGCTAGGGCAGGGGTAGGCAACCTTGGCTCTTTTATGACTCGTGGACTTCAACTCCCAGAATTCCTGAGCCAGCCAGGCTGAGGGGAAAGGGAGAGGTTTCCAAGCCGAGCCAGGCTGGCTCGGGGATCCTGGGAGTTGAAGTCCACAAGCCATAAAAGAGCCAAGGTTGCCTACCCCTGGTATAGGGCAGGGGTCTTCAAACCTGGCTCTTTTATGACTTGTGGACTTTAACTCCCAGAATTCCCGAGCCAACATGGCTCAGGTTGGAAAACTCTCCCTTTCCCCTCAGCATGGCTGGCTCAGGAATTCTGGGAGTTGAAGTCCACGAATCATAAAAGAGCCAAGGTTGCCTACCCCTGTGCTAGGGCTTATTTTCCAGCTGGGTCGGTAGTCACCGTTCCAAGTTACAACAGCACAGAAAAAAACTGGCTTATGACAGCATTTCACCCTTACGACTGTTGCAGCCACGATCCTGTGATGAAAATTCAGGCGCTTGGCAACTGACTCATATTTATGGCGGTTGCAGTGTCCCAGAGTCACGTGATTCCCTTTTGTGACCCTTTGACAAGCAAATTCCATGGGGAAGCCAGATGCCCTTAACCACCGCATCACTAACTTAAGAATTGCAGTGATTCACTTAACAACTGTGGCAACGGTCGTAATAGAACAGAACAGAAAATATGGAGTGGAGTGGAGTGGAATGGAATGGAATAGAATGGAATGGAGTGGAATGGAATGGAATGGAGTGGAGTGGAATAATCGCCCCAACCAGCTTCCAGGAGAATTTTTGTGATGCAGCACACGGGGGGGGGGGAGTACCTCGTTCCGTGATTCTTTTCAAAATAGGCTGCTCGTAGCCAAACACTCTTCTTGCTGGGAAAAACTTGCAGGGCGTAAGCGTAAATTGCCCTGGCGCACTCCAAGGCATTGTGGGCCACGCACTATGGGGAAAAAAATAAAGGAACACGGGTCAAACAAGCCGTTTTTAGTGACCAATCATAATCTGATCTGCATATTCAATCAAGAACATTTTTTGGGCAGGCCTACAGGCATTCCTTGAATTATGACCGTCACTTACCGATGGTTTAAAGTTACAACAAACCCCCCCTCCCCCCCTAAAAGGACGTAAAATGGGAGAAAACTCATTTAACAACTCCCTTGGTGAGCAATGGGTGTTTTGGGTTCCAATTGGGGTCGTTAACTGTACACACCCACTAAAGATATCCAATTTAAATCACAATTCAGAGGAAGGGGGGTGGCTTACATCAGAAAATGACTAGAAAATTTGAAGTCCACAAGTCATAAAAGGACCCACTTTGAAGACCCCTGGGCTATAGTGTTTCACCTCTAACTCTGCCACCTGGGCCTGTCCTCAGCTTCACACCTGAGGTCTTGCACTTACACTATCAGCATCTTCCATCCAGGTGTGTTTGCGGTCTTCCTCTTCAATCCCAATTCCAATGACTGCTCTCATGATAGCTTGGCACGTGGCCACGCTTCCAGCTTTGTCGCATTCTTCAGCATCCTGGGGGGAAAAAATTATTTTGACGTCCCTCAGCCAGGGCAAGAAAAGGGGCAATTCCATCCCAACACACACACATCCCTGAGAGCATCAGTTTGTCCTAGCCTGGCAATGCCCATAACTAAACTGGCTGTTCTTTCCCCCTTGCCACTGCCTTTTCACCCAAGCAGAGGTGAGAAGTCGCAATATCTGAGAACAGGGCTTTCCACCCTTGTGCCACTTTAAGATTTGTGGACTTCAACTCCCAGAATTCCCCAGCCAGCATGGAATTCTGGGAGTTGAAATCCACTGGTCTTAAAGTCGCCTAGGTTAAAGACTCCTGTCTTAGAAGAATGCATGTTCAGGCTAAGCATTTTTCATTTCCAATGGAGAAAAAAAAAACCAGTAACAATAATAATTCTTTTCTCTTGAAAAATTCACTTTAGAGCAGTGGTTCTCAACCTTTTTAATGCCACGACCCCCAATCGGTCATAAGTTGAGGACTACTCAACCGGTCGTAAGTCGAGGACTGCTCAACTGGTGCAGCACCGTTTGCAGAATGGGACTTTTGGCGGGCTCAGCAGGGCAGAGACAGCCTGGAATATTCCTATTGGCTTTTGAAAGCCAATAGAATTAGACTCTATTCAAGAGAGTCTATTCTATTGGCTTTCAAAAGCCAATAGAATAAGAGGGAGTAGCACAGCTAAGGAAAAGGGGGAAAAAATGGCGGACTGCGTTGTTTGGCGACCCCCGTGAAATGGTCGTTCGACCCCAAATGGGGTCCCGACCCACAGGCTGAGAACCACTGCTTTAGAGTGATGAGCAGTGACAGATACACGTGCTTCATTAGTTGACGGGGTGGCAGTGATTAAATATTTAACTAGAACTGAAAGAAGGAGAAAAAAATATTCTCTTCTATTGCGTGTTTTGCAACTATCCTTCTTAAACTCTCCCATCTATTTTTGGTAGATTCCAGAAGACCAGCAGTTTCAATCCATAACATATGAAACATTCATATATTTGAGGTATCTTTGGTGCTTTCTGAACATGGTTGATTTCTTGCAGGCTTTTGAGTACCCAAACTAAGTAAAGCCATAGTATGGGTAATGAAACATCTGCAAGAAAACAATCAAGCTCAGAGAGGACCCCTTATTTCAATCTTGAGCTACAAATATTCTCATATATTTCTCATGTCCCGAGCTTCCACAGAAATTGTTATGAAATGTACTGAGACATTTTCCAATAGATTTTCCACATGTATTCATTCTATTCCAGATGTATATGTATATACACCCAAACTAAACTATGTTTTTCCTCTGGGTCATATATGCGTGTGCATGTGAGTATATGCATAATTATTATTATTTTGTCATGTTTATGCAGTGTGTATTGGAGGTGGTTGCCCTTTGAGAGCTATATGCAACGAAATCTCATTTTAATGTATGCTGATTACTATACATTTAAAGTGACAATGAAGTTATTATTCTATTCTGTTCTATATTCTCTTCTCTTCCTTCCACTTCACTCCACTCCCTTACTCTATTCTATTCTATTCTATTCTGTTTATTCTATTCTATTCTATTCTGTTTATTCTATTCTATTATATTCTATTCTATTCTACTCTATATTTCAATTCTACTCTATTCTGTATTTCGATTCTATTCTACAATGTTTATTCCATTCCATTCCTATTCCTGTTCCCATTCCTTTTCCTGTTCCTATTTCTATTCCTGTTCCCATTCCTTTTCCTATTTCTGTTCCCATTCCTTTTCCTATTTCTATTCCTGTTCCCATTCCTTTTCCTATTCCTGTTCCCATTCCCTTTCCCATTCCTATTTCTGTTCCCATTCCTATTCCCATTCCCTTTCCTTTTCCTATTCCCATTCCCTTTCCTTTTCCTATTTCTATTCCTGTTCCCATTCCCTTTCCTTTTCCTATTCCTGTTCCTATTCCTATTTCTATTCCTATTCCTGTTCCCATTCCTGTTCCTATTCCCGTTCCCTTTCCTTTTCCTATTCCTGTTCCCATTCCTTTTCCTATCCCTATTCCTGTTCCTATTCCTATTCTATTTTTATCATATAGTACCACCTGCCCTGAACAAATAAAATATCCCACCTGAAGTACAAAAGGCAGCTGGGTGACTTTGGGCCAATCATCAGGAGACACTGAGTTCTGGTCTCACTTTAGGCATGTAAGCCGGCTGGGTGACTTTGGACCAGTCCCTCTCTCTCTCTCTCAGCCTACCCCACCCCACAGCGTTGTTGTGGGAGGAAAAAATAGGAGGCGGGAGGAGGATGCGATATGTTCGCTGCCTTGAATTATGTGTAAACACAACAAAGGTGAGATCAAAAGAAATAAATAATAAACAGAATGGTCTAAAGCCGCTTTTCCCTGACTTGGCGCCTTGAGTCATTTGGGAGGCCTCATTTCAAAAGGCCAGGAAGACGACAGATTCAGGAAAAGTCAGGCTTTCAAAGAGACATGCGCAGTTGAGTACCTGGATCCACTGTTCCCGGTTGATTTCCACTCCATTGGCCCTCAAAGAGGTGATGGCTCGGTCGATGATCTTCTCCACCATCTGCGTGTTCCCGTTGGCCTCCTCAAGCTTGGCAGCTGTAATCCAGATGTGCCGGTCCGTTGGAATGTTCTCGCGGGCTTTGTTTAAGACCTTACGGGCGTTCTCGTAGGTTTCGAGTCTCGCCAGGGCAAGCCACAGCTGGAAGAAAGGAACCGAGTTGGCAGGAAGGCTGCCCAGCTGCCTCTTCAGACAGAGACTTTTGCTGATTTGACTTACAACCACTCATTTAGTGACCTTCCAAAGTTACAACAGCAGAGAAAAAATGACTTATGACTGTTTTTCACACTTATGACTCTTTCAACAAACCTGGGGTCAAGTGATCAAAATGCCCTTGTGTGCTATCAGTGTACACTCAAGGATCTCATGGCAGCACAAGTAGGGTGGGGTGGGGTGGGGTGGAATAGAATAGAATAGAATAGAAAATAGAATAGAATAGAATAGAATAATGATAGAATAGAATACAATAGAAAAATGATAGAATAGAATAGAATAGAATAGAAAAGATAGAATAGAATAGAATAAACAGATTGCAGAATAGAATAGAATGATAGAATAGAATAGAATAATGATAGAATAGGAATAGAATAAACAGATTGCAGAATAGAATAGAATAGAATAGAATAGAATAGAATAGAATTAGATTAGAATAGATTAGAATAGAAAAGATAGAATAGAATAGAATAAACAGATTGCAGAATAGAATAGAATAATGATAGAATAGGAATAGAATAATGATAGAATAGGAATAGAATAAACAGATTGCAGAATAGAATAGAATAGAATAGAATAGAATAGAATAGAATAGATTAGAATAGATTAGAATAGAATAGAATAGAATAGAATAGAATAGAATAGTAGAATGGAATTGAAAGGAATGCAATAAATAGAATGGAACGGAATGGAACAGGAACAGTAACAAGAACAGAATAGAATACTGGGCCATGGGACAGGCTGGCCAGTGCGCGCATGTGTGCGTGCACATGCTATTGCTGTGGCTACGGGACACAAAAACAGGACACCCTGCTGCATGGTGCAAAAATGGGCTGCTGCCGCGCCACGGGGCGCAAAAATGGGATGCCACCGCACCTCAAGGTGTGAAAACGTGCCGATGCTGCACCTCGGGGCACGAAAATGGGATGCCAACGCGCTGCAGGGCACAAAAATAGGCCGACGCCGTGCCTCAGGGTGCAGAAACAGGGCAATGTGCATAAGAACAGGGCAGGGCTAGCAAGTATCACGTAAGTGCTAGCCCCGCCCCATTTGCGTCACGCGCATGCTTGCAGCCCCGTGCACGCACACGCATGCGTGCACGCATAAAATGCTTCCCCCTCCCTTTTCTTCCGGTCCACCACTCAAGAAAGGTTGGTGACCTCTGCCCTCGACCATCCCAGACAAATGGCTGCCCAGTCCTCTTCCGTGAAGACCTCCAGTGATGGAGCACCCACCACTTCTGGAGACAAGTCGTTCCACTGGTTAATTGTTCTGTCAGGAAATTTCTCCTCAGTTCTAGGTTCGAATTCTCTTTAATGATATTCTACCTGTTTCTTCTTGTCCTGCCTTCTGGTGCTTCGAAGAAGAGGCTCACACACAGACCCACACACCCACAGACACACACACCCACCCACCCCGTGGACAAAACCAATCTGCCAACTTACTTCCACGCTGGTGGGACAGCATTCCACCGCCCGGCTCAGCATTATCCTGGCATCCTCGGGTTCTTCTAATTCAACCGCTGCCTTCCATAAGCGGACTGAATTTGGAACATGCTCCAGCGCTAAGAAAGAGAAATGCGGGGGGGGGGGGGAACAACCCAGAAATGCTTTTCTTTATCCAAGACCGAACAACATCCAAGCTACCAGGTGTAATCCAATTTGCAAATTTAATAGAAAGAGAAGCCTTTGAAGCATGCATGTTAAGAACAGACGTGTCAAACTCAAGGCCCGCGGGCCAGATCTCATTTCGGCTAGCCCAGGGCTAGGCAACCTTGGCTCTTTTATGACTCGTGGACTTCAACTCCCAGAATTCCTGAGCTAGCCACGCTGAGGGGAAAGGGAGAGGTTTCCAAGCTGAGCCATGCTGGCTCAGGAATTCTGGGAATTGAAGTCCACGAGTCATGAGGGGGCCATAGTTCCCTCATGCTGGCTCAGGAATTCTGGGAGTTGAAGTCCATGAGTCATAAAAGGGCCACGTTTGAAGAGCCCTAATCTAGTGCAGGGGTAGGCAACCTTAGCTCTTTTATGACTCGTGGACTTCAACTCCCAGAATTCCCGAACCAACCATGCTGAGGGGAAAGGGAGAGGTTTCCGAACTGAGCCATGTTGGCTCAGGAATTCTGGGAGTTGAAGTCCACGAGTCATGAGGGGGCCATAGTTCCCCCATGCTGGCTCAGGAATTCTGGGAATTGAAGTCCACGAGTCATGAGGGGGCCATAGTTCCCTCATGCTGGCTCAGGAATTCTGGGAGTTGAAGTCCATGAGTCATAAAAGGGCCACGTTTGAAGAGCCCTAATCTAGTGCAGGGGTAGGCAACCTTAGCTCTTTTATGACTCGTGGACTTCAACTCCCAGAATTCCCGAACCAACCATGCTGAGGGGAAAGGGAGAGGTTTCCGAGCTGAGCCATGCTGGCTCAGGAATTCTGGGAGTTGAAGTCCACGAGTCATAAAAGAACTAAGGTTGCCTACCCCTGGTCTAAACCCAACACTGGGTCCTTCAGTGGCATCCTATACCAGGGGTAGGAAACCTTGGCTCTTTTATGACTGGTGGACTTCAACTCCCAGAATTCCACAGCCAGCATGGCTCAGCTTGGAAACCTCTCCCTTTTCCCTCAGCCTGGCTGGTTCAGGAATTCTGGGAGTTGAAGTCCACAAGTCATGAAAGACCCAAGGTTGCCTACCCCTGCACTAGATAGAATAGGGCTCTTCAAACTTGGCCCTTTTATGAGCCAGCATGGGGAAATTATGGCCCCCTCATGACTCGTGGACTTCAACTCCCAGAATTCCTGAGCCACCCTGGCTCAGCTTGGAAACCTCTCCCTTTCCCCTCAGCGTGGCTGGCTCAGGAATTCTGGGAGTTGAAGTCCCCAAGTCATAAAAGAGCCAAGGTTGCCTATCCCTGGGCTAGCCTGTCACATTGAAGCAGAGTCCCCAATTTCCCATGGCTGCCGTTGTCCTGAGCTGCCAGGTGGACAATCACACTTACGAATAATCGCCAACTTTCTGCTTTTATCGCTCTAAATCGAAAAGGACGGGCAAGCAAACAGAGGGTCTAAGTTACTTGAGGAACCATCTCACCTCAAAGGGGTCAGCTTGCCCCAGGTGCGCCAGCAGTAGGGGCATTATGCGGATCCCGTTGGCCAAGGAATTTTAGTTGGCAGGTCCCTCTGGAATTATCATACCACTCAAGGCAAGGTCTGGCCCTGCCCTCTTAGCCCGTAAAATCCTTAATAGCAATAGACTTATATACCGCTTCACAATGCTTTACAGCCCTCTCTAAGTCCATTTACAGAGTCAGCCTGTTGCCCTCAACAATCTGGGTCCTCATTTTACCGACCTCGGAAGGATGGAAGGCTGAGTCAACCGTGAGCCGGTCAGGATTGAACTCCTGGCTGTGGGCAGAGTTTGCCTGCAATGCTGCATTCTAACCACTGGGCCACCATGGTAGGTAGGTAGGTAGATGATTGATAGATAGATAGATAGATAGATAGATAGATAGATAGATAGATAGATAGATAGATAGATAGATAGATAGATAGATAGACAGACAGACAGACAATCAGACAGATAGATATAGGGGAGACATGATAGCAGTATTCCAGTATTTGAGGGGCTGCCACGAAGAAGAGGGGGGTCAAACTATTCTCCAAAGCATCTGAAGGCAGGACAAGAAACAATGGTTGGAAACTCACCAAGGAGAGAATCAACCTGGAATTAAGGAGAAACCTCCTAACCGTGATAACAATCAACCAATGGAACAGCTTGCCACCAGAAGTTGTGGGTGCGCCAACACTGGAGATTTTTAAGAGGCTGGACAGTCACTTATCTGAAATAGTATGGGTTCTCCTGCTTGAGCAGGGAGCTGGACTAGAAGACTTCCAAGGTCCCTATTCTATTCTATTCTATTCTATTCTATTCTAGTCTAGTCTATTCTTATTCTAGTCTATTCTATTCCTATTCTATTCTATTCTATTCTATTCTATTCTATATGCAAAACTGTACTAGCTTTCTACTCTGCTCTTAAAATACTAAGCTGGACTTCAATTATGCCTGTAATGGCCGACAAACAACAATGATTGTGTTATCCTCAGGCTGCAAGGACAACTTTCGAAAATTTATTGTGATAATGTTCTGATTAGTTAGATGGAAACCACCTTCCATCACATTTATAGCTGGGGTAGGAGATTCTTCAAGAGACAAAGAAATGCAAAACGACAGGCTCGGACAGTATGTTCTTGTTCAGTTTTCACCCATTAAGAATCAGGCTCATATGCCAGGCATTCTTTTTTCCTTTTTCAGTCACATACAGCTTCCTACGCAATCAATGCCATGCAAAGGAAATGCCAGCTCAGTGCATTGTTCAATCTGCTCATATTAATGTCTTGCTAGAATTATGGGTTTGTGCCTATGATTGAATTGGAATTTTAATTTAAAAGAGAGATCATAACAACTCGTAAGCATGGGCCATATGCAGTCCATCAGCCTGCAGAGCTACTCTAGAGTAAGTGGATGTGTATGAGGGCATATTGATCTTTTCTTTTTGAATCTGCGGGGCCGGTCTAATTTCCGGAGGGATGACGCTCCAGAGCAGTGGTTCTCAACCTTTTTAATGCCGTGACCCCAACCGGTCGTAAGTCGAGGACTACTCAACCGGTCGTAAGTCAAGGACTACTCAACTGGTGCAATACTGTTTGCAGAATGGGACTTTTGGCGGGCTCAGCAGGGCAGAGACAGCCTGGACAATTCCTATTGGCTTTTGAATGCCAATAGAATTAGACTCTATTCAAGAGAGTCTATTCTATTGGCTTTCAAAAGCCAATAGAATAAAAGGGAGTAGCACAGCTAAGGAAAAGGGGGAAAAAATGGCGAACTGCGTTGTTTGGCAACCCCCGTGAAATGGTCGTTCGATCCCAAATGGGGTCCCGACCCACAGGTTGAGAACCACTGTTCCAGAGGGAGGGAGCCACCACAGAGAAGGCCCTTCTTCTGGGTCCTGCCTAGATGTATCCCCTTAGGGGATGGGACTCGCAACATTCGTTTCCCCACTGGTGAATTGGTCCCTCTGAGACGGTCCCTCAGATAACTTGGTCTCAAGCCATGAAGGGCTTTCAAGGTGACAAACAGCACCTGGAATTGCACCGGAAGAAAATCGGCAACCTGTGTAGCTCCCCACAGGAGAGGTGACCCATGCGCACACCGGGGCCTGCACAAAAACCACACATTGCTTCCGGCTGCTTTTCAAGGGCAGCTCCTTCTAAAGTGCATTGGAACAGTCAAGACGAGAGTTGACTAAAAGCAGTGCTTTTCAACCTTTTCACCCATTGTCCCACTTTGTACCATGGCAATATCCGAGTACCACCAGTTGCCTAAAACTTGATGACACCCCCCCCCAAAAAAGGAAAAAAATGATGAAGTACAGGTAGTCCACGACTTACAACAGTTCACTTAGTGACTGTTCGAAATTACAATGGCACTGAAAAAAGTGCCCAAGCCACAGCCGAGCAAGACACCTGCCTGCCCACCCGGCGGCGCTCTTCCTCCTGTCTGAGGTTTTCATTGTTGTGAGCATTTCTGTTGAGGATTGGCTGTGGGGGTGGGGTGGAGGGGTGTTTGGTTTTTATTCCCCTCCGTCTGCTGGGTGGTTGCAGCAGGTTTTGGTCACTACACATGACCCTGGGTCACTGTGACCGTCATAAATATGAAACAGTTGCCAAGCATCTGAATGTAAATCACAAGACCCTGGAGATGCTGCAACATTCCAGCTGATCGGTGCTTCTTCAGGGCTCAGCAGAAGCACCAGGATCAGCGCCGAGCTCCAGCTGGGGCCTGACGCTGATCCTGGTACTTCCACTGAGCCCTGACAGCCCCGAAGAAGCGCTGATCCTGGCGCTTCCGCTGAGCCCTGACAGCCCTGCAGCTCCAGCCGTCTCTCGCTCAGGCTTGTGCGGTTCAGCTCATTCCCCTCCCCTGCTATCACTTTTCTAGGATGGTCGCGTACCACCTGCCAGGTGCCAATGTACCACAGGTGGTACCCGTACCACTGGTTGAAAAGCCTTGGACTAAAGCACGAGTGACTATGAGCAGAGATTGTTGTCCGAGAAAGGGCAAAACCGGGGCACAATCCACCAGCTTTGAGATGCTTAGCAATAGTAGTAAAGTTGGAAGGGACCTTGAAGGTCATCTAGGCCAACCCCCTGCTCAGGCAGGAAACCCTACACCATTTCGGACAAATGACTGTCCAGTCTCTTCTTAAAAACTTCCAGTGTTGGAGCATTCACCGCTTCTGGAGGCAGGTTGTTCCACTGGTTAATTGTTCTCACTGTCAGGAAGTTTCTCTTTAGTTCTAGGTTGCTCCTCTCCTTGATTTGCCTCCTGTCCTGCCTTTGGGTGCTTCGGAGACTAGCTTGACTCCCTCTTCTTTGGGGCAGTCCCTGAGATTTTGGAAGACTGCTATCCTGTCTCCCCTCGTCCTTGTCTTCATTAAACTAGACATACCCAATTCCAGCAACCGTTCCTTATATGTTTTAGCCTCCAGTCCCCTAATCATCTTGGTTGCTCTTCTCTGTACTCTTTCTAGAGTCTCAACATCTTTTTTACATTGTGGTGACCAAAACTGGATGCAGTTTAAAGCACTTACTCTGCCAGATGGCCATCTCTCCATTTCAAACCCACGGAGGTTTCCCTCTCTGGACCCGTCTCACCTTTCCGAAGGACTCTCTTCTTGGCTCGGATATCCGTCTCCAACTCGGCGGCTCTGATATAAATCCGGACCGACTGGGGAAGGTGACGGACCGCCTGGGCCACCACGGCCTTGGCGGTGTCTCCAGGCTGCAAGCGGGCAGCCTCCAGCCAAACGTCTTCGCTCTGGAGAAATGCAGGCAATAAAGGAAGTCAGCGGCTTATTTGTTAAGGCAGAGCTCACCAAGGTTTCTCGGTTGGCGGACTGGAGGGAAAGGGAGGGGAAAACATTTGACATGTGTGCGCGCGTGCCCACGCGCACGGGGCCGTGAGCACGCACGTGACGCAAACGGGGGCAGGGCGAGCGCTTGCGTGATACTCGCTAGCCCTGCCCCATTCTTGCGCGGCATAGCACCGTCCAATTTTGCGCCCACAGCGCAGCGTCGTCATCCCATTTTCCCCCAAGGTGTAATGGTGGCCCGTTTTTGCGCCCCACAGCAGCATCCTGTTTTCGCACGCCGTGGTGTGGCAGCATCCCATTTTTGCGCTCCAGGCTGCGGCAGCATCGCATTTTTGCACCGCACAGCGGTGGCCCGTTTTCACGCGTCACAGGCACAGCACTACCGCAAGTGGGGGCATGTGCACGGACATGTGCCTGCACTGGCCAGCCTGTCCCGCGCCCCGGTGGCCAGGGCCCACTACCGGGCCACAGCCCACAGGTTGGGGACCCCTTGTTAAGGGATCCAAATCCTTTAGGGAGGATGTGGAACAGGAGAAATATCAATACAGGTAGCGTGGTCGATTGATGACAATTAATAAAGGAATGGTTGCTGGAATTGGGTATGTCTAGTTTAATGAAGAGAAGGACGAGGGGGGACATGATAGCAGTGTTCCAATATCTCAGGGGCTGCCCCAAAGAAGAGGGAGTCAAGCTATTCTCCAAAGCATCTGAAGGCAGGACAAGAAGCAACGGGTGGAAACTAATCAAGGAGAGAAGCAACCTAGAACTAAGGAGAAACTTCCTGACAGTGAGAACAATTAACCAGTGGAACAACCTGCCTCCAGAAGCGGTGAATGCTCCAATACTGAAAGTTTTTAAGAGACTGGACAGCCATTTGTCCAAAATGGTGTAGGGTTCCTGCCTGAGCAGGAGGCTAGACTAGATGACCTCCAAGGTCCCTTCTTATTCTGTTCTGTTCTCCAAAGCGCCTGAAGGCAGGACTAGAAGCAACGGGTGGAAACTAATCAAGGAGAGAAGCAACCTAGAACTAAGGAGAAACTTGCTGACACTGAGAACAATTAACCAGTGGAACAACCTGCCTCCAGAAGCGGTGAATGCTCCAACACTGGAAGTTTTTAAGATGAGACTGGACAGCCATTTGTCTGAAATGGTATAGGGTTTCTTGTCTGAGCAGGGGGTTGGACTAGATGACCTCCAAGGTCCCTTCCAACTCTATTATTATTAAGCCCAGAATTTCCATTGTTAAGCAAGCCAGATGTTAACAAGCGCTGGCCCAGTTTACAACCTTCCTTGCCACGCTTGTGAAGTGAATCGCTGCAGAGCAGAGGGTTCGACTAGAAGACCTCTCAGACCCCTTCCAAACTCTGTTATTCTATTATCCCGTTATTCAGTTGTTGGATCAGGAACACGATTGGTTAAGTGCACCCGGCTTCCCCCATTGAGTTTGCTCATCAGGTTGCAAAAGGGGATCATGTGATCCCTGCGACGCCGTCGTTGTCGTAAATACGAACCAGTCGCCGAGCGGCCGAATTTTGATCCCGCGGCCATGGGGACGCTGCAACGGTTATGAGTCTGAGAAATGGTCAAAAGTCACTTTTTTCACCGCCACTGTAACTGAATGCTCTTTTTCGTCGAGGACTACCTGTGTCTTAAGGATCCAGAAAATTGAAACTTCTGCAAAACTGAAGGAAACGGGAGAACAAAACGGCAGCCCTCACCTTCGGACACATTTCGGTCCCTTTCATGATGAGATTTCGAGCAACCTGCAGCTTCCCTGTCACCTCTTCCAAGCGGGCCGACGCGATCCAGGCTGGGGGGTGGTGAGGGTTCGTCTCGCGCACGGACTTAAGCAGCAAGCGGGCTTTCTTGATGTCGCTAGGGAGAGAGGAAAACACAAGAGGGGAAAGGCGTCAGTCAGTCCCTGCAGCGCCAGCCCTATTCGTATCAAAAAGTGTTGCGGGGACTCAAGAGAATAGAATTCCCCTAGGCCAGTGGTTCTCAACCTTTTTAATGCTGCGACCCCCCAACCGGTCATAAGTCGAGGACTACTCAACCGGTCGTAAGTCGAGGACTACTCAATTGGTGCAGCACCGTTTGCAGAATGGGACTTTTGGCGGGCTCAGCAGGGCAGAGACAGCCTGGACAATTCCTATTGGCTTTTGAAAGCCAATAGAATTAGACTCTATTCAAGAGAGTCTATTCTATTGGCTTTCAAAAGCCAATAGAATAAAAGGGAGTAGCACAGCTAAGGAAAAGGGGGAAAAAATGGCGGACTGCGTTGTTTGGCGACCCCCGTGAAATGGTCGCTCGACCCCAAATGGGGTCCCGACCCACAGGTTGAGAACCACTGCCCTTGGACTCATTTTCACACGGGAGGTCAAAATGAGAAGGGTCAGGATTTAAAGGCGGGGTCCGTGGTGCTCTCTGAGCTGGGTGGTTTTCTTGTAGAGGTTGCATCACCTAACTAGGGAACATTATCAGTGCTAGGAGGGAGTGAGGTTTGTGGAATGGAGTGGGGAGGAGAAGGACTGTGGGGTCCTTGGTGCTCTCTGAGCTGGGTGGTTTTCCTGCCGACGTTTCATTACCCAAATAGGGAACATCATCAGTGCGAGAAGGGAGTGAGGTTTGTGGAGAGGAAGAGGAGGAGGAGGAGGAGGAGGAGGAGGAGGAGGAGGAGGGGGGGGGGGACAAAGATGTCCTTGGTGGGGTCCTTGGTGCTCTTTGAGCTTGGTGTTTTTCTTGCAGACGTTTCATTACCCAAATAGGGAACATCATCAGTGCAAGAGGCTGAGCGCAAAAGAATTGAGGCCTTTGAACTATGGTGCTGGAGAAGACTCCTGCGAGTCCCTTGGACTGCAAGGCGTTCAAACCGGTCAGTCCTAGAAGAGATCAACCCCGACTGCTCTTTAGAAGGCCAGATCCTGAAGTTGAAACTCAAGTACTTTGGCCACCTAATGAGAAGGAAGGACTCACTGGAGAAGAGCCTAATGCTGGGAAAGATTGAGGGCAATAGAAGAAGGGGACGACAGAGAATGAGATGGCTGGATGGAGTCACTGAAGCAGTAGGTGTGAACTTAAATGGACTCCAGAAGATGGTAGAGGACAGGAAGACCTGGAGGAACATTGTCCATGGGGTCGTGACGGGTCGGACACGACTTCGCAATTAACAACAACAATCAGTGCAAGAAGGGAGTGAGGTTTGTGGAGAGGAAGAGGAGGAGGAGGGGGGGGAGGAGGGGGAGAAAGATGCCCTTGGTGGGGTCCTTGGTGCTCTTTGAGCTTGGTGTTTTTCTTGCAGACGTTTCATTACCCAAATAGGGAACATCATCAGTGAGAGAAAGGAGTGAAGTTTGTGGAGAGAAGGAGGAGGGGGAGAAAGATGTCCTTGGTGGGGTCGTTGGTGCTCTCTGAGCTTGGTGGTTTTCTTGCAGACATTTCATTGCCCAATAGGGAACATCATCACTGTGAGAAGACAGTGAGGTTTGTGGAGTGGAGAGGGAGGAAGAGGAGGTGGTCCTTGGTGAGGTCCTTGGTGCTGTCTGAGGGTTGTTTTCTTGCAGACTTCATTACTCAATAGGGAACATCATCAGTGCTAGAAGGAAGTGTGGTTTGCAGAGGGGGGGGGGAGGAGGAGGACTGTGGGGTCCTTGGTGCTCTCTGACCTTTTCTTGCAGAGGTTTCATTACCCAACTAGGTAGCACAGTGTTTCCCAAACTTGACAATTTTAAGGCATGAGGACTTCAACTCCCAGAATTCCACAGCCAGCAACACTGGCTGTGGAATTCTGGGAGTTGAAGTCCACATGCCTTAAAATTGTCAAGTTTGGGAAACACTGAGGTAGCATCATCAGTGCTAACGATGTTACCTAGCTGGGTAATAAAACACCTGCAAGAAAACCACCCAGCTCAGACAGCACCAAGGACACCACATTCACTCCAGACCACCTTTCTGACTTCAGACCCAAAGTGCTGCACACTCCCACGGTACCCCCATTTTGGACAATACGATCATTATCAGTCTTCCACTAAAATCAGACCAGGTGCTGGGACGGAGAGGACGCTGGCCAATGTAGCCTCAGGGATAGGCTGCAGCTTCTACATTCATGCAGCTCTTTCAGCTTTCGGAAGCGTTTATTCTTTCTGCAGTTATTGCACAACTACAAGCACCAGTGTCACCCCCGGGGCCTTACTTGATGTCTCCACCATGTGTGGGAATCATGGAGTTTAAATCCGTGAGGTATCCTTTGGGATCCACCACTGTTTGGCCGCTCACTGAGTCGGATACCTGAGGGGGTTAAGCAAAGCCTTGTTAAGCAAACCGATGTAAAAAAGCTCATGGCTACACACACTTTCCCATAAAGCGCTAAAAAGGTAAAAGAATGCTATGCCCATAACTAAGTCATCTTTCCCAAATATCATTCTCTTTCGGAAACATCGTCACCACGTATTAATTTATTTAATGGGCAGGCTGCCCGATTCTCCACAGCTCTGGGAGGTTCACAACAATCATATATAAGGGCAGGGGTCTCCAAATAAGGGTTGTGGACTTCAAATCCCACGCTGGCTGAGGAATTCTGGGAGTTGAAGTCCACAAGTCTTAAAGTTGCCACGTTTGAAGACCCCTGTTCTAGATATTTTGTGGTTGTGCTGCTCAAAAACATGGGATAAAATTCATAGGCTTGCTTTGCTTGAGGGTCTGAGCATTCAGGTAGGCTGCTTCTGTCTGTGGAGGTTCAATTTATTTTATTTTATTTATTTTATTTATGAGACTTATATGCCGCTTTAAGTGCAAGCACTCTCTTACACCAGTAAGCAATGTATATATATATTTACATTGCCCCCAACAATCTCGGTCCTCATTTTACCTACCCGGGAAGGATGGAAGGCTGAGTCAACCTTGAGCCGGTGAGATTTGAACCGCTGACCTGCTGAACACAGTCAGCTAAAGTGGCCTGCAGTACTGCACTCTAACTGCTGCGCCACCTGGGCTCTTCAATCAATATTTTAGGGCAAAAGATCTTTCCCCTAGGCCAGGGGTAGGCAACCTTGGCTCTTTTATGACTCGTGGATTTCAACTCCCAGAATTCCTGAGTCAGCATGGCTCAGCTTGGAAAACTCTCCCTTTCCCCTCAGCGTGTCTGGCTCAGGAATTCTGGAGTTGAAGTCCACGAGTCATAAAAGAGCCAAGGTTGCCTATCCCTGCCCTAGGCAACTGATTGCTTAAGAATTCCCTACAGGAAAGTTTTTCCCCACTTGGAAACTTTAAGATAGGTGGACTTCAACTTCCCAATCCTGGAAATAGAAGTCCACCCATCTTAAAGCATGGCTGGCTGAGGAATTCTGGGAGTTGAAGTCCACAGTCTTAAAAGTTGCGAAGTCTGGAGACCCCTGATATAAGGAAAAGAGAAGACCTTTAAAATTAGGAAAATGTATCCCAAGTACCCCAGTAGGAAAAAATAATAATAATTTAGAAGCTGTAATGTAGCACCCTGATGTTTATTCAGTCTGATAAGCCACATGGCTACAGGTAGTCCTTGATTTGTGACTGTAACGGAGCCCTCAATTACAGCTATAAGTCCTGGCAGTCAGTCATTGAGGAGGGGGTTACAGGACCACACCTGATTTTATGACCTTTTTCGCAGTGGTCATAAAGCAAACACCTCTGTCGTAAAATGAACCCACTGTGTTCTAGGGACATTTTTGGCAGAAAACCATACAAAAATGCTGCAAATCATGATCATGGGTCCACAGCACATTGCAAACATCACAAATGTGGGCTGGTTGCCAAGTGCCCCAAATGCCATCAGGTGACTGCGGAAAGAAGGGGACGGTGGCTGAGAGAACCTCAATTTCAGATCGCAAGTAGCCTGTTATCGCTGCCAACATCGAATGTTCTTGCTTTGACAATATATGAAGATGCAGCCATTTTCTCTTTAACCTGGGTGTTACTTTTAGAGTTAGAATTAGATCAGTGGTTCTCAACCTTTTTAATGCCGCGACCCCCCAACCGGTCGTAAGTGGAGGACTACTCAACCGGTCGTAAGTGGAGGACTACTCAACCGGTGCAGCACCGTTTGCAGAATGGGACTTTTGGCGGGCTCAGCAGGGCAGAGACAGCCTGGACAATTCCTATTGGCTTTTGAAAGCCAATAGAATTAGACTCTATTCAAGAGAGTCTATTCTATGGGCTTTCAAAAGCCAATAGAATAAAAGGGAGTAGCACAGCTAAGGAAAAGGGGAAAAAAATGGCGGACTGCGTTGTTTGGCGACCCCCGTGAAATGGTCGTTCGACCCCAAATGGAGTCCCGACCCACAGGTTGAGAACCACTGAATTAGATGATGCTGGGGGGGGGAGGGGGACGAATGTGCATGGGGATTAGTTAGACATAACAACATGGCAGTAAGAGTATTCTTCAAGGTTGTTTGAAATAAGAGATGATAAGAAGTGGCCCTGGGTTATAGAACTGGAGGGCAGGTTTGCATTTTAAACTAATTCAGTGTTTCTCAACCTTGACAATTTTAAGGCATGTGGACTTCAACTCCCAGAATTCTGGGAGTTGAAGTCCACATGCCTTAAAATTGTCAAGGTTGAGAAACACTGAACTAATTGGAGAATGTGATTTATGACGGTTAATGGGAGGAGGGAATTGTGCTTTGATACTGTTGTGCTCAGGGGAGGGGAATTCAGATTTTGGCTTCGACCACAGTACGTGCCCGATGGCCGTGTTATTTTGAATAAAGATTCTTTAAGGTAAACAATGCCCCGAAGTTCTTGGAAGAGTAACATCTGTCGGAACCATGACATAGCCTCTCCAGGGTTCATCGTAACTTCGAAAGATGACTTAAGGATTGTTCGTAAGTTGAGAACTACTTGTATTTCCCATACCCCCCCCCCTTTTCATGCCCTTACCTGGCTGAGCCGCATATCCATCAAGGTGTTTCTGGCTTGTCCAATCTTCCTCATATCTAGCTCCCCTGTGCCAGGTGTCATCAATCCTGGGGTCATTCCACCTGGGTAAGGTGTGTTTAAGCCCCCTGGGTAAGGGGTATTCAGACCGCCAAATTGCTACAAGATAAACCGCGGGGGGGGGAGAGAAGGGGGGGGGAAGAGAGAGCATTAAGGAATTTCAAATGCCATCCATAAAAAAAAAAAAACAGCTGGTATGTGCAATCAATCAATCAATCAGAATAGAACTGGAAGGGACCTTGGAGGTCTTCTAGTCCAACTCCCTGCTCAAACAGGAGACCCTATAAAATTTCAGACAAGTGGCTGTCCAATCTCTTCCTGAAAGCCTGCAGTGATGGAGCGCCCACAACGTCTGGTGGCCAGCTGTTCCACTGGTTGAATGCAGTGAATGCTCCAACACTGGAACCAGAAGCGGTGAATGCTCCAACCCTGGAAGTTTTTAAGAAGAGACTGGACAGCCATTGGTCTGAAATGGTACAGGGTTTCCTGCCTGAGCAGGGGGTTGGACTAGATGACCTCCAAGGTCCCTTCCAGGTCTATTCTATTCTATTCTATTCTATTCCTATTCTACAATCTTTCTATTCTATTCTATTCTGTTCTATTCTATTCTATTCCTATTCTACAATTTTTCTATTCTATTCTATTCTATTCTAGTTCTATTCTATTCTATTTCTATTCCACTCCACCCCACCACACCCCACTCACCCCATCCTATTCTATTTATGCTGTCATGAAATCCTTAAGTGTACACTGATAGGACATGGAGAGCATTTTGATCACTTGACCCCAGGTTTGTTGCAAGTGTTTTTAAGAAGAGACTGGACTTTCACTTTGAGAGCGGGCAACTAAATTTCATTTTTGATGTGTGCCGTTGTGCCCACAGTAAAAAAATGATAATAAAGGTTATCTTATCTATCTTGACAGCCATTTGTCTGAAATGGTATAGGGTTTCCTGGCTGAGCAGGGGGTTGGACTAGATGATCTCCAAGGTCCCTTCCAACTCTATTATTCTATTCTATCCCATTCTATTCTATTCTATTCTATTCTATTCTATTCTATTCTAATTCTAATTCTAATTCTAATTCCACTCCACACTACCCTATTCTACTTGTGCTGCCATGAAATCCTTAAGTGTACACTGATGGGACACAGAGGGCATTTTGATCACTTGACCCCAGGTTTGTTGCAACAGTCATAAGTGTTTTTAAGAAGAGACTGGACTTTCACTTTGAGAGTGGGCAACTAAATTTCATTTTTGATGTGTGCCATTGTGCCCACAGTAAAAAAAATGATAATAAAGGTTATCTTATCTATCTTGACAGCCATTTGTCTGAAATGGTGTAGGGTTTCCTGGCTGAGCAGGGGGTTGCACTAGATGACCTCCAAGGTCCCTTCCAACTTTTATTATTATTATTATTATTATTATTATTATTATTGATCATCGCACAGTCAGCCAGATGTTCAGACTGGATTTGGCATTTTGTCTACCTATCAAGTCTTTACCCAGGACCTGGGATAGGCAGATGTGGATATTTGATGGTATTACAGGTATCGTCGCAGGATGGAAGCAGTTCCTAATAAGGCCGCCTTTTGCAATTGACTAATAGCAAATTTGTCAATGCCAATGGTGTTCAAGTGGTGCTCCAGTTGTTTTGGGATTGCACCCAAGGAGCCTATGACTATTGGTACTACCCTTGCTTGCTTTTGCCACAGTCTTTCTATTTCTATTTGTAGGTCTTTGTATTTTGGTATCTTCTCCAGTTCTTTCTCTTCTATTCTGCTATCTCCAGGCACTGCCACATCCACTATCCAGACTTTTTTGTCTTTCTTATCGACAATTGTTAAGTCTGGGGTGTTATGTTGCAGGTGCTTGTCTGTTTGAATTCTGAAGTCCCAGAGCAGTTTAATTTTATCATTTTCTACGACTTTCTCTATTTTTTGTCTTTCTTACCGACAATTGTTAAGTCTGGGGTGTTGTTGTTATTATTATTATTAATTTTCCCCTTTCTAGTTCCTGAACTTTGGACACGAGACAAGACGAGGTACTCTCTCCTTTTGCCTATGAAATAGGTATCAATTGGAAGTCCCTCGCCAAGCCGTTCGTTCAGAAAACCCGCTGAAACTCGGAAATCCCAGCGGAGATTCTCACCGTCTGCCGGGGGTCCACCGATGTGTGATTCTCTCCCGACTGCAAGTGCTTCGCAAAGAAACTGTCCGGAACGGGTGTCAGTTTTTCGTAACGTGGATTCCTCTGGCGCTTGTTCCTGGCATCGCCAACTTCAGGAATACTTAGCCACTCTTCTTCTGTAACTTCAGCCAGTTTTCTCTGCCAAAGCAACAATCACAACCTGTAATTGACAATCGCTTACACGGCATTCAAGTGATCCCTTCTTCCACTTCCCCATCTTCGACTTTTAGCCTGGAAATTCTTAGTGCCTGGCAGACATGCCCCAAAGCTAAAAGATTTTGGTTCAATGGTTGGAAAAAAATGACTAAAAAAAATATAGATTTCACGCCAGAACTGTTTCTCTTAGGCACAACAGGAGGAAACGATGAGAAAGATTGTATATACTTAATTTTACGTGTATTAACTGCGGCGAGAATTGTATTTGCCCAATATTGGAACAATGAAAACTTATCGACAGAAGAACTAATTAAGAAAATATTAGACTGTGCAGAAATGGACAGATTTGTATTAAAGATAAAAGAAAAAGAAGACTCAGTGTACTTTAGAACAGGGCTTTTCAACCTTTTCACCCGTTGTACCCCTTTTAGGATACGGCAATATCCGAGTGCTACCAGTCGCCTAGCAAGGTGTCAAAAACTTGGAAAAGGAAAAAAAGTGATAAAGTACAGGTAGTCCTTGACTTACAACAGTTCGCTTAGTGACTGTTCCAAGTGACAGTAGCACTGAAAAAAGTGCCCCCCCCCCAAGGCACAGCCGAGCAAGACACCTGTCTGGGGCGCTCTTCCTCCTGTCCGAGGTTTTCATTGTTGTGAGGCATTTCTGTTGGGGATTGGCAGCGGGAGTGGGGTAGGGGGGTGATTGGTTTTTATTCCCCCCGTCTACTGGGTGGTTGCAGCAGGTTTTGGTCACTTCATATGACCCTGGGACACTGTGACCGTCATAAATACGAATCAGTTGCCAAGCATCTGAATGTAAATCATAAGACCCTGGAGATGCTGCAACATTCAAACTGATCGCTGCTTCTTCTCGGCTCAGCAGAAGCGCCAGGATCAGCGCCGAGCTCCAGCTGGAGCCTGGCGCTGATCCTGGAGCTTCCGCTGAACCCTGACAGCCCCGAAGAAGCGCTGATCCTGGCGTTTCTGCTGAGCCCTGACAGCCCTGCAGCTCCAGCCGTCTTTCACTCAAGCTTGTGCGGTGCTGACACTGGTTCAGCTCATTCCCCTCCCCTGCTACCACTTTTCTTGTTCGCATACCACCTGCCATGTGCCAATGTACCACAGGTGGTACCTGTACCACTGGTTGAAAAGCCCTGCTTTAGAACATGGGACATTTTTTACCAATGGCTAGAAAAGCGAGTTAGAGAGAAAGGAACATGATATGTACTATGCAACACTAAATATATACTAGTAAGAAGACTATTGAGCGATTAACTAACATATTGATTATGATAATATAGGAATTCACTCTTGTTTTTTAAATACATGAACCCAGACAGTATGCTGTTTGCTAAATATTAAGAACGTCATTTTAAAAAACCCCAACCCTAATCCTAACCCTAACCTTAACCCTATCCTACAAAAATTAGTAATGTATGTATGTATGTATGTATGTATAAAGAAAAAAAAATTAGTGCCTTTTTCTTCTGACAAATGTAGGTTTTCTGACTTTTTATACAGGCATTCCTTGACTTACAACCATTTGTATAGTAACCATTAAACCCGGGGCTCCATGCTCAGCTGCAGAGGCCTTTCCTGAAAATAAGACCTCTTTTGGAGGCAAAAAAAATACATAAGACCAGGTCTTATTTTCGGGAAAATACGGTAATGCCAATTGAATCAGTGAATACTATTAATTATGGTTCCTCTAAACCAGGGGCCCCCAAACTATGGGCTGCGGCCTGCAGAAATGGCTGGCCAGGGCGCGCACGCATGGGCGTGCATTCCCCCCCACTTGCGCTAGGGCCCATGGCCGTTTGCACGTGCGGGCGCGAACAGGAACATTAGCACAGGGGGCCATGTGCACCCCATTTGTGCATGCGCGAATGGGCTGCTAGTGCGGGGGCACGGCCCATTTGCATATGTGCGAACGGGCGCTAGCCGCCGTGGGGGGTCCGCGGCCATTCACGCATGCTGCATGCGTGAACGCAGCTGCTCGTACTGCGTCAGCGGGCGGGGCCCCATTTGCATTCATGCACACGCATGCACACGCAGTAATTTGGAAGCTGCTCTCCCCTCTGGGCCGTGAGCCTGGAAAGGTTTGAGAACTTTGCTCTAAACAATTTTACAAGCCCAAGAATACACTGAGAAGAGAGAGTAATATTGTAGCACCTTTTCTGCATTAACATTGCCATGTTTATATTTATATGTATATGTATATATAATCAAATACATATTGCAGTGTCCTTACTTTCAGATCTGAGAACTGCTGTTGAATTTTTGGCCGTTCCATTCGGTACTTTTCAATCTCCTCTTTCTCACGCTGTTCTCTAGAAAATGAAATTGGCCAATATGTCAGCCAACCCAATAATTTTCCCGGTTATCTTTTAAGTATTTAAATATTTGAGACACCCAAGACCAATCATACACAAAAACCTAAAAACTAGTAGCTGACATTTGACTATGCAGGTTTCAAATCAAAGCACAGGGTCAACATTTCTCATGGTTTAAAAAAAAATCAAAACCCTACCTTCTCTCTTTTCTTCTTTCATCCATCCTTTTATCCAAAGCAGCATAAATTGCATCTGCCTCTTCATCGTCTTTTTCATAAGGTCCACTGGAGAACAAGCTTCCAGCATATCCATTGAACTGCACAGGGCAAAAAGTCACGTCAACTCATATTATCCCCTTAATGTAACCCACGAAAATCAAAACGACAAAATAAATCCAGTTTTATAGCGTGGTTAGCCTTAAGATGGATGGATGGATGGATAAGATAGATAGACAGTTGATAGATAGATGATAGATAGATGATAGATAGATAGATAGATAGATAGATAGATAGACAGACAGACAGATGAGTTGGATAGATGGATAAGATAGATAGACAGATGATAGATAGATAGATAGATAGATAGATAGATAGATAGATAGATAGGGATGGATGGATGGATAAGATAGATAGACAGACAGACGGACGGATGGACGGATGAGATGGATGGATAAGATAGACAGATGATAGATAGATAGATAGATAGATAGATAGATAGATAGATAGATAGATAGATAGATAGGTAGATAGGTAGATGGATGGATGGATGGATGGATGGGATGGATAGATGGATAAGATAGACATATGATAGATAGCTAGATGGATGGATGGATGGGATGGATAGATGGATAAGATAGACAGATGATAGATAGCTAGATAGATAGCTAGCTAGCTAGCTAGATAGATAGATAGATAGATATGGATGGATGGATGATGGATGGATAAGATAGACAGACAGACAGACAGATAGATAGATAGATGGATGATGGATGGATACATACAGACTAACTTAAGGAGAAAGGGCAAGGAAAGCCATATAATAGTCATAGAGGGAGAAAAAAGAACAGGTTAAAATCTATAGCATTCCACATAAAAGAAATGTTATAACCTGGGGGGGAAAGTACTGATCAATCCTTGAGCAAATTACGGAAGCTGAACAAAACAAATGATATTACCACAATAATAATAATAATAATAATAATAATAATAATAATAATAATAATAATAATAATAATAATAATGATAATAATGATAAGGAGAAGGAGAAGGAGAAGGAGAAGGAGAAGGAGAAGGAGAAGAAGAAGAAGAAGAAGAAGAAGAAGAAGAAGAAGAAGAAGAAGAAGAAGAAGAAGAAGAAGAAGAAGAAGAAGAAGAAGTTGGAAGGGACCTTGGAGGTCATCTAGTCCAACCCCCTGCTCAGGCAGGAAACCCTATACCATTCGGACAAATGGCTGTCCAGTCTCTTCTTAAAGACTTCCAGTGTTGGAGCATTCACCGCTTCTGGAGGCGGGTTGTTCCCCTGGTTAATTGTTCTCACTGTCAGGAAGTTTCTCCGTCAATCCTAAATGACAACAATCCTGACTGTCCTTTAGAAGGACCGATGCTGAAGCTCAAACACTTTGGCCACCATTTAATGTGAAGCGAGGACTCCTTGGAGAAAACGCTGATGTTGGGAAGATGGAAGGCAAAAGGAGAAGGGGAGGGCAGAGGTTGCGATGGTTAGATGGTGTCGTCAACGCAATGAACGTGAATTTGGGCAACCTCTGAGAGACACTGGAGGACGGGGGGGGGGGCCTGGCACACTGTGGTCCATGGGGTCCCAAAGAGTCAGACACGATTTAGCGACTGAACATATTGCAAACATAACCCCGCTTCATCGGCAGCACTGACGAGTGTGACAAAATGGCATCACCTCATCATAATTGGTATCATTCAGATCTTCATCATCGTCATCAGCTGTCTGGTTTTTCTTCATCTGATCCCCAACGGTTCTCTTCCCCGGAGGAGCATGACGATCATCCACAGGGTCATTAGCATCCCGGGCGGGACCAATATCTGAACGGGTGGTAAAACCAGTAGCTCTACAGAGGAAAAAAACACACACACACAACGGATTCAGAGAAAATTCAAATCTGGCTGGACAAGGATTTATTTTTTTTTTTTAATCTAAAAATCTTCCTAAACCCAGATTTGTAATGATCATCATCTCTGGAGACCAAAGGGTAGAAAGAAAATTCAAAATATCCCCACCTTGATCGTCTTTAGTGTTAAGCTGGGACAGGGAGAAACTTGGGACTGCTTTCCAAAATGGATGCCAGCGCTTCAAGGTAGACCAGGATAAGCACGGCAAAGATTCCAGAAATGCTATTTTATCATTATAACGTACAATAATAGAACCATGAAAACCTCTCCAAGTTTCTCTTTGCTCCACTCTAATCTAAACAAGGACAGGAAGACCTGGAGGAACGTTGTCCATGGGGTCGCGATGGGTCGGACACGACTTTGCAATTAACAACAACAACAACAATCTAAACAAAAGCAATGCAGGGATATTTTGAACAGGGTTTTTTTTTCTCACCCTTCTGTCTCTGGCACTCTCTTGTTCAAGCCCCTCCTTAATGGTTTTCAGGTCTTCTATGTAAGGGTGTAGGTCTATGCATATGGTTAGTTTCCATCTGTTGCTTCTTGTCCTGCCTTCAGGGGCTTTGGAGAATAGCTTGACTCCCTCTTCTTTGGGGCAGCCCCTGAGATACTGGAACACTGCTATCATGTCCCCCCTCGTCCTTCTCTTCATTAAACTAGACATACCCAATTCCAGCAACCGTTCCTTATGTTTTAGCCTCCAGTCCCCTAATCATCTTTGTTGTTCTTCTCTGTACTCTTTCTAGAGCAGTGGTTCTCAACCTGTGGGTCGGGACCCCATTTGGGGTCGAACGACCATTTAACGGGGGTCGCCCAACAACGCAGTCCGCCATTTTTTTCCCTTTTCCTTAGCTGTGCTACTCCCTTTTATTCTATTGGCTTTTGAAAGCCAATAGAATAGACTCTCTTGAATAGAGTCTAATTCTATTGGCTTTCAAAAGCCAATAGGAATTGTCCAGGCTATCTCTGCCCTGCTGAGCCCGCCAAAAGTCCCATTCTGCAAACAGTGCTGCACCAGTTGAGTAGTCCTCGACTTACGACCGGTTGAGTAGTCCTCGACTTACGACCGGTTGGGGGTCGCGGCATTAAAAAGGTTGAGAACCACTGTTCTAGAGTATCTATCTATCTATCTATCTATCTATCTATCTATCTATCTATCTATCTATCTACCTACCTACCTACCTACCTACCTACCTACCTATCTACATTTTTACCATATCCTAAGCCTCTGTCCATTTTTCACCTTTTTCACCAAAACCCCAGCCTGTCTCTACTTTTACTTCTCAACAAGCTACAACTCGCTTTCTCAGCTGCCAACAAAATACGTTCACTGTGTCTGCTTCATTTCATTCAGATAGGGAACTCTTTTCATGGCAATCCAAAGCTAACTTCCTGCAAAAACTAACAATACAAATTGGTGGGGGATTTTTTCCCCCCAAAACAGGTGCCACAGGTCCCTTCTGTTCTTCACCCAAGGAGCCACGAGTGGCTGTGCCACTGAACACGGAGAAGCTCTTGGATACAGACAGTGGGGCATCTCCAACTACAGCCCAGAAGCAGAGTTTGTGTTTACAACATAATGAATGAGCTCAACATTTGTTTATTTATTTGTATCTCACCTTGATTATTTTTAGAAATACAGGTAGTCCTCAACTTATGAACACAACTGAGCCTCAAATTTCTCTTAAGTGAAACATTTAAGTTAAGTTCTTTGTCGCCATGATTGTTAAGTGAAAATCACTGTAGGTTTTAAGTTAGTGGCATGGTTGTTAAATGAATTTGGCTTCTCCACTGACTTTGTTTGTAAGGTCACAAAAGGTGATCACATGACCCGGGACACTCCAACTGTCATAAATATGAGTCAGTTGGCAAGCATCCAAAATTTGATCACATGACTATGGGGATATTGCAATGGTCGTTAAGGGTAAAAAACAATCATAAGTCACTTTTTTCAGTGTTGTTCTAACTTTGAACGGTCACTAAATGAGCTGTTGTAAGTCAAGGACTACCTGTATTATCCCCACAATAACCCTGCGAGGTGGGCTGGGCTGAGACAAATGGGACTGGTCCTCAAGGTTACCCAGCTGGCTTTCATGGCCAAGATGGAACCTGAACACAGATCACGCGAAGTATTAGCACCGCTCTACAAAGCCCTGGTAAGACCACGCCTGGAATACTGCAGCCAATTTTGGTCACCATATTACAAAAAAAGATGTTGAGAGTTTGGAAAAAATTCAGAGAAGAGCAACTAAGATGATCAAAGGCTTGGAGGCTAAAATATACGAAGAATGGCTGCAGGACTTGGATTTGGCTAGTCTAAAGAAAAGAAGAAATAGGGGAGATACGATAGCAGTGTTCCAGTATCTGAGGGGTGCCACAAAGAAGAGGGGGTCAAATTATTCTCCAAAGCACCAGAGAGAAGGACAAGAAACAATGGTTGGAAACTGATCAGAGAGAAGTAACTTCCTAACAGTGAGGATAATCAACCAGTGGAACAGCTTGCCTCCAGAAATCATGGGCGCTCCATCACTGGAGATTTTCAAGAGACTGAACAATTACCTGCCTGAGATGGTATAGGTCAGTGATTCTCAACCTTTCTAATGCCGTGACCCCATAATACAGTTCCCCATGTTGTGGTGACCCCCAAGTGGGTGTGGCCACCAATAAGAGGGATTAGGACAGCTAGGGAAAAGGGAAAAAATGGCGGACAGCATGGTTTGGCGACCCCCGTGAAATGGTCATTCGACCCCAAATGGGGTCCCGACCCACAGGTTGAGAACCACTGGTATAGGTTCTCCTGCTTGAGCAGGGGGCTGGACTAGAAGACCTCCAAGGTTTCTCTTCTCTATTTTATTCTACAACCTATTCTTTCTACAACCTATTCTACAATTTATTCTATTGCTATTATAGCCCAAAGCCTTAATCACTACTAAACCAAACAAGCACACATGCAAAGCACCACAACAAAAAGCAAACCAGAGATCAAACAAGCAAGACAAGTCCACAAAAGTGTGCAAAATGCAGCCATAAGGTTTTCCCTGGATCTTATTACACAGCCCAATCCAACAGAGGCTGAAACGCACATAACACCCAACACAGTTCACTTCGGTCCACACGTGCGTTTGTGGACAAATCTCACTATTCTAAATACGTGTTTCTCCAGCTGAGCAACTTTAAGATTGGGGGGGGACTTCAACTCCCAGAATGCCCACACTGAGGAACTGGCAGGGGAATTCTGGGAGTTGAAGTTCCCCCCATCTTAAAGCGGCCCAGGGGGAGCAGCAAACGAACCAAACCAGGCCGGGCTGGCCTAACACGCGACGCTCAGCCGATCGTGGGAATGCAACCTCGAACGGAGGTTGGGATGCAAACCGAGGGGAAGAGAGCCCTCTGCACATGCTCAGGGACGCCCTCCAGCCCCGAACCCGGCGGCTCACCCTCGGCCCAAACCCGGCACGTAGCCCAGCGGGGCCGGCATGCCCAGGAAAGGCTTCTTCTTGCGGTTCATGGTGCCGGTTAGCGCCGCCGTCAGCCCCGAGGCCCCGCCGCCGCCGCCCCCGCCCGAAGCCCCCGAGGAGCTCGAGCTGGCCGGGGCGGCGGCGGAGGAGGAAGAAGAGCCGGAGGCCTGAGGCGCCCCCGAGGAAGCGGCCGTGGCAGCCATGTTGGCGGCGGAGGGCGGAAAACAGGCCGCGGGGCGGGGCGAGGCCCAGGAGGCGGGGCGAAGGCGGAGCCACGAGGCGGAGGGCGCCTTTGCCTGACAAGAGCGGCGGCCCCGCTAAGTAGGCGGGGCTGCGGCCGGGGGGCGGGGGCGGGGAGGGCTGATCTTAAGCCAGGGGTCTTCATTGGCCCTTTTATGACTTGGGGACTTCAACTCCCAGAATTCCTCAGCCAGGCAAGCTGGCTGAGGAATTCTGGGAGTTGAAGTCCACAAGTCATAAAAGGGCCAAGTTTGAAGACCCCTGGCTTAAGCCTCTGGGGGGCGGGGTTGTGACTGAGAGGGGGACTCGAAATGCAGCCACAACCCTGCGAGGTAGGCTAGGTGGCTGGAAGAAGGAGAGAGGAAGAGGAGGCTGGTCTTAAGCTTCCGGGGGGGGGTTGTGACGGGGGGGGGACTCGAAATCCAGCCGCAACCCTGGACTGAGGGGAAGGTGCGGCCTAGAGTCCCCAAAAGGACCTTTGTGACTGAAATCAGGGTCCTCCCATCTAAATCCAACCACACCCCTGCAAGGTAGGTTGGACTGAGGGAGGATACTACTCCTATGTGAGCTTCTTTGGCTGGAATTTGTTACCTCTAGTCCAGGGATAGGCAACCTCGGCTCTTTTATAAGCCATGCTGGCTCGGGAATTCTGGGAGTTGAAGTCCACAAGTCATAAAAGAGCCAAGGTTGCCTACCCCTGGCCTAGCCCACTGTTTCTCAGCCTTGGGTACTTTAAGAGGTGTGGACTTCAACTCCCAGAATTCCTGAGCCAGCATGGGGAAACTATGGCCCCTTCATGACTGGTGGACCAACTCCCAGAATTCCTGAGCCAGCATGGGGGAACTATGACCCCCTCATGACTCGTGGACTTCAACTCCCAGAATTCCTGAGCCAGCCTGGCTCAGCTTGGAAACCTCTCCCTTTTCCCTCAGCGTGGCTGGCTCAGGAATTCTGGGAGCTGAAGTCCATGAGTCATAAAAGAGCCAAGGTTGCCTAACCCTGCGCCTAGTCTGAATCCAACCACAACCCGGTGAGGTAGGTTGAGCGGGGGGGGGGGGGGAAATAGTCCTAAGCCACCCAGGGAGGACTTGAATATAGGTCTCCCCAGTCCTGGTGTACCAACAGCCTTGCAAGGTAGGCTGGACTGAGAGAGGAACAAAGACCCCTGAGGAGCTTCTGTGACTGAGAATTATGAGGAGCCCCAATATGTTTTTCATGAAGTATTTGAATGCATAATACATTTTGGTATACTTGTAGTAAGGGACAATTTAGCAGAAAAACATCCATTTTGCCCAATTCCTGACATCTTCCGCCATCATTTTTCTTCTTTTATCTGCAAAAAATAAAATTAAAAAAAATCAGATGGATTTGCTCTTTGTAGACCCAAGGTCACTCAACTTACTAAAATTCAAAATTTTTGGAATGGTGGAGTATTCTGAAATGTACTGGATTCACAAAAATAGCCTTGAATCTATTCATGTTTGTTCCACTTAGTTTAATGGAGGGCATTGTGTCTCGGGACAGTGTGTAGAGTCTTTTCAAGAGATTTTGCAATACATTTCCTATGTGCCCTCTGAAAATAGCTTGAGTGTTGTCATTCTCCATCATGGGAGAAACTGCCAAGTTTGAACAGAGCAAGAGAATTGATTCTACCCACATAGGCATGAAATGGAAAAGCAAATTGCTCTCCTCTGCTGCCTAATTTAGCATTATTAAATTATTAAATTATGGTTGTTTGGAATGGCCTGTTAACAGAATAATAACAGCTTGTACTTTTTGGTTTTCACTGCAATGTGGCTGATCCTAGTGATTAATCTAGTACATATGCTGATCTATGACTGTAATAAAGATATAACAGAAAGACAAGAGTTGGAAGGGACCTTGGTGGTCTTCTAGTCCAACCCCCAGCTGAGGCAGGAAACCCTATACCACTTCAGACAAATAGCTGTCCAGTCTCTTCTTTAAAACCTCCAGTGTTGGAGCATCCACAACTTCTGGTGGCAGGTTGTTTCACTGTTAATTGTTCTCACTGTTAGGAAGTTTCTCCTTAATTCCAGGTTGCTTCTCTCCTTGATTAGTTTCCATCCATTGCTTCTTGTCCTGCCTTCAGGTGCTTTGGAGAATAGCTTGCCCCCCCCCCACTTCTTTGTGGCAGCCCCTTAGATATTGGAAGATTGTTATCATGTTGCCCCTAGTTCTTCTTGTCATTAAACTAGAGATCCCCAATTTCTTCAACCATTCTTTATATGATTTAGCCTCCAGTTCCCTGATCATCTTTGTTGCTCTTCTCTGCACTCTTTCTAGAGTTTCAACCTCTTTTTTATATTGTGGCAGCCAAAATATAATATTCCAAGTGTGGTTTTACCAAACCATTATAAAGTGGTACTAACACTTCACGTTCTGTCCCTCTGTTAATGCAGCCTAGGATTGCATTGGCTTTTTATTTAATTTTAATTGAATCTAGTAGTGTACATTATTTTCCAACTGTACTCTGTTTCTTGCAAATGTGCATAATCTTTCAGATGCAACAAAAAAAGATTTTAACACAGGGTTATTCAAATGTTGTACAGTATGGAATCATTAAAATCAATGGACAAAGTAGTCATCAGGTTATATTAATCATTAAAGAGCATTAGCTTCAAATCAACTAAAGTTCTAAAATTGTTATGATGCCATTACAAAGGATGGAATTAAAACTTTGTCATTAATAAATTAGTCTTTAGTTAATTTTCCTTCATTTTTAATTGTTTTGGATTTTTTATTATGCTATAAGCCACTTAGAGTTGCAGTTACAATGACAAGGGGTGGCATATAAATTTAGTAAACAAATTTAATAAATAAAAGCTTCATTTGGTTTTCTTTCTGATGCCAAGCATTTATTTTTACATTTACATCCTATTTTTCTTTCAGGGAAGATTAAACCTACAGTTTACCACTTCCCAGCTGATTGGCTTCACAAGTGTTCAAGAAAGGGGCTGTGCTACCAAGGACAATTGTGAACTTTGTGTCTGAAAAGGGACGGTGAGTCTGGTTCTCCCACACTTTTATATTGGTAAGCCTATTTAAATCTTTGAGAACATTTAGGTTAGCATCCAGATAAGGAGCTACAAGAGTTTGTCCACCCACAATGTGGCTGCCTGGGAAATATAATATTTATATTTACCAGAATATTTCCCCAAAAGCCCCTGTAGATTTCCTGTTATTCCAGCTTTCCTTTGTCTTTTTTTCAAGGACGAGATACACTTTTACTTCCTATTCTGTTCCTCAGATGCTGCTAAAAGATTGAGCAGTTTACAGTCTCTTAAAATAATAATAACATTAGGACTTTATAACATTCTCTGGGCAGTTTAGATAAGATAAGATAAGATAAGATAAGATAAGATAAGATAAGATAAGATAACCTTTATTGTCATTTTTTTACTGTGGGCATAACGGCACACATCAAAAATGAAATTTAGTTGCCTGCTCACATATATGACATAACACATACATGACATAACAAATAACACATACATGACATAACAAATAAATATTATTTGTTATGGAAACTAATCAAGGAGAGAAGCAACCTAGAACTAAGGAGAAATTTCCTGGCAGTGAGAACAATTAACCAGTGGAACAACCTGCCTCCAGAAGCGGTGAGTGCTCCAACACTGGAAGTTTGTAAGAAGAGACTGGACAGCCATTTGTCTGAAATGGCATAGGGTTTCCTGCCTGAACAGGGGGTTGGACTAGAAGACCTCCAAGGTCCCTTCCAACTCTTGTCTTTCTGTTATATTTTTATTACGGTCATAGATCAGCATATGTCATAGATTAATCACTGGGATCAGCCACATTGCAGTGAAAACCAAAAAGTACAAGCCGTTATTATTCTGTTAAAACAGGCCATTCCGAACAACCATAATTAATAATTTAATCGTCCCTCTGTAGAAAGTGGTCAGGACAGGGTTAGGAAGATGTGCTTTTCTCATGCGACGCAGAAAATGCAGGGCTTAGTTCCCATACTTGAAGGATTGCCTGTCTCCCATAGCATCTTGCCTGGTTTATTCAGCCTGGCCCAGTTGACACACTCCAGGTTCCTTCAACTAAACAATTTCAGGACTGAGGAGTGTGCCTTCTCTGTAGCCGCAGAAACAGAATGACAAGAGTTGTAATTGTTCACTTACTCTCTGCAATGAGCTTCTCCCTTAGATCTGAATAACCGCTTTTCCAGCGTTATGAAGGTCATATTTTAGCAAGGGTGAGCGAAGTCCCACTTTGAATTATGTGGATTTGTTTCTTTTTTTTTTTTTTCAATGCCAGTCTGACTTTTGTCAACTGACATTCCATTTTATTGTTTTTAATGATTTCAGTGGTTCTTATTTTGGTTGATTTTGAATTGTTTTTCTGGATTTTGAACTTGGTAGGCCGCCCGGACGGTAATTATATTGCTGCCTATATTAATTATATATATATTTGTTTTCTGAGGTTTTCGCGGGTGTTTGTATGTAGGTTTTTGGTTATTCGGGTTTTCTCCCGCGTAAAATTGGAAGTGTCTTGGCGACGTTTCGACGAAGTCCCATTCGTCATCTTCAGGCTGGTGTTTTCGGCTTCGTGCTTCGAGCAGCAATGTGTGGTCTTAGCTGTTTCTTCCTTTTAACTGCCAGTGGGGGTATGAACTGATTGGGTGGGAACTTGGCTGTGTTCTGATTGGGTGGAGGTGTGTTCTGATTGATTAGGGGCTTGGCTGTGCTCTGATTGGCTGGGGGGTTGGTTGTGCTCTGATTGGTTGGGGGGTTGGCTGTGCTCTGATTGGCTGGGGGAGTGTTCTGTTTGGGTGGGGGCTTTGTTGTGCTCAGGTTAATCTGAGTTGCAGGGGGGTTTAAGATGGTGGGCTGCCTTGCTATTTTTTGGCTTCACGTTCGTGGTCGTGCCTCATCTTCATGGTGGGTGTCAGTTTGCTTCATGTATGGATTGGAGGGGT